TCATACTGGCCTTGCTGGAGACAGAGGCTGGTACAGTACATGCTCTTACAAGTATTTCCAAGATAATGCCAACTGTTCCTACAGTCAGCATAAGGCATGGAATTGATTTGCCCTTTTGATCACAGACTCATAACAGGGTTGCAAAATGTCTTGGCTAACAAAGCCTCCAATTGAAAGAAGGCAAGGAGAGAGGCTCAGGGAAGGAGGATGTGTTAGCAGCTGTCCTGCTCCAAAGGCTGCTCAGTTCTCCAGATGAAGGTGTTGGTCAGGTTCCTCTGTTCGGAGTAAAATATTAGAACAGAGCCCACACGCTGCTGTTTTTATGAACTGTTAATTAGTTTATGGTCAGTTCATTGGTGATACCTGAGAAGTTGCTAATCTAAGATTCATTCACAAAGCAGCAGAGCTTACATATTAAGCATATATTTCATATATTTTATGAGAACAGTACATTAAAGCTGACAACTGTTACATGGATCCAGGAAATATTTAGCCATCCTTTGGCTTTTATATCTAAGAATAATTTTTCAATTACATTTCTACCTTTGCAGCAGGACTATCACCCAAAGATTGAAATAATTTCTGAAGTGACAAATGACAGCAATTCTGCATTAGAAGAAAACAATGAAAGCATGCTTGAGAATTCAGTAGAAGAAGTTCCAACAGCAATTTTTTCAAATGTATATCAGAACCATAGAGAGCATGAAAAGGAGCACTTAAGACCTCTTCTCAAAAGCTTATTTACAGAGCCTGATAATTCAGAAGGATACCTGGAGATCAAAGATGAAGAGGTAGCCCCTCTGAAACCCTTGATACAAGAGGTAATCACTGAGCCCAAGGATCCTCTGCTGTTGTCACCAGTCTGTCATCAAGCAGATGGCCCAAGCTCGTGGGAAGAGGATGGTAAGATTACAGTGACATTATTAATCACAGAGAAAACAGGGCTGGCACAGACACACTAAGGATCTGTTCAGCTCCTCTTGAAGGTTGTTAGTTACAATTACCTCTTCCTTTCATTTATGTGGGAATACTAACAAATAAGGAATGAAAGTATTTTCTTTTTCTACAGAGAATTTCTTACTGATTTTTATTTAAATGGTTTTAAAAAATTTGGCTCTATATTTCTTTTTTCAGTATTAAAGACCATGAGTGAGTTTCATTTGCCCTTTGCTTTTGTGCTTTTAACAGGGAATGGCAGTGATAGAGAAGCACAGGGCCTGGCTGAGGGGGAAGAATGTCCTCATAAAGCACAAGGTGACAAGGATGATGACAGAGGATTGGATTAATCGCTTTGAAAAAAACAGACCAAATCTGGAGCACAGTGTGCAAATATTCCCAAAGAATGGAGGCTGCAATGGGACCATTTGTTAAAACTGATGTAACACTGTGATACCAAAACTCACTGCCCTTGGCTCCAAGCTCCTCAGGGCATCTGCAGGTCACTACTTTGAAAACGTGTTTTGAGGTTAAATTCCAGTCTTGTGTTATTTGTGTCTTTGCATCCTTCTAGAAACGCTTTAGTTACATGTTTATACATTAGAGTTTCATTACAGATGTAGTTTCAAGCAGAATTCAGTGTGTCTGTCATCTGACTAAATAAAAATTCTATTTGTAACCACATGTATTTTCATTTTAAATCCATACCAATGTACATCAAAGCAGATGGACTTCAGTAGCAAATGGAGATTGCTTCTTGATGGGATATTTTACTGATCTAATATGCCTTAACATTATGATTGTTTATGCCTAAAAAGATAGAGAAATAGCATCCATGCACAGAAAATCTGGTTTTATCTTTTAGGGCATCTGTAATGAAACATACACTTAAATCTCCTGCTTTTATTGTTTTTCACTGAGATGTGTCTCAGGATCTGTATTTTGAATACAGATTCACCAAGTTTAGGTGAATGTCGTTTTTCATATTTCTATACTTCTGTAATAATTTGTAATAAATAGAATTTAACAGTTATTTTCGGTGTGCACATTTCAAGAAATAAAGTATCACTGTGGGCTTGTTGAAAAGATGTATTTCCTATCACCTGGGCTTAGGTGCCATCTGGTGGCAAGAGAACCAGGCCTCACAGTAAAACAAAATTGTGAAAGCCCTCAGAGAGGACAACACAAATGCTTTAAATTTCATCCATATCTCAGGATCTGTATTTTGAATATAGCCAAGTTTAGGTGAATGTCGTTTTTCATATTTCTATACTTCTGTAATAATTTGTAATAAATAGAATTTAACAGTTATTTTCGGTGTGCACATTTCAAGAAATAAAGTATCACTGTGGGCTTGTTGAAAAGATGTATTTCCTATCACCTGGGCTTAGGTGCCATCTGGTGGCAAGAGAACCAGGCCTCACAGTAAAACAAAATTGTGAAAGCCCTCAGAGAGGACAACACAAATGCTTTAAATTTCATCCATTTCCCCCCTACACGGGTTAAAACATGCTGGCCTCCAGGACAGGGTGGGGGTAAGCCAAGGGCCTGTGGAGCACAGGGTTATCTGAAAGCACCAGAGCTGGAATCTGCTCTTCAGAAAGCTGCAAATGCTGCCACCAGCCTGTATGAGCTCCATCCTAAAATGTAGCTGCTTCCTTTTCTGACAGAAAGCTGGATAAGGACTATTTTTAGGACTTTGGGTTTTGCATTTTCCATGCTGTGTTTGGTGCCTGTCCTGGTATCCACTTACTACACTAAAAACAAGTAAGCAGAAAGGATCACATTATGTTTGCAAACAAAAGGTTTAAAAAAATAATTCCAAGAGTGAGGTTTGAGCTCTGTTACCACTGAAAGCAAGAAAAATAGGGCAAATGAGGAAAAAAAGAGCAGCAAATAGTTTCAAGAACTACAGATTCTTTTACTGTGATCCTGATTTTATCAGGTATATCCACACTGAGTGGCATTTTAGTTTGAAGAATTCAGCAGCTTTCCAAGCTGTGTTTACTTGGCCACATTTTAGATGGGACATTTTAGATTTAGTTCACACAGTGACCACAACCCACCCGTGGGCCCTCACAAGGGAATCTGAATGCTTAGAAGCAATCTTTACTTGTCACTGAGGACCTGGGAAGGAGAAGGGGAGTAAGGGACAGATGAAAGGAGTAAGAGAAATGCCAAAGCAGGACTAAATGAGAAAAATGAAACATGTTTAATTAGTGTCTTCTGTAAAACTTTACAAATGTACAGCATAGTGCAAAAACGCAGTCTCAGCACATCACCTTCAAGTGAAATTAACAATGTAAAAAGCCAAGGAACACAAGCTTCCTTCTGCACAGGAATGGCTCCTGAGTGTCTTCCTGGAGGTTCCTCTCTCACCATCAAGCTCCAATCTCATGTTTATAGTAGAGCAAAAAGCCTAAAGAAAACCCCTGGAACCCTCCTGAGAGGCTGCTCCCCACGAGCACAGGCTGGAGCCCGCCCTGCAGGACACAGCCTGAGACAGCCAGGGCCCAGCTGCACCTGGCTGTGCCCACGGGCAATGCTCCCCAGCGGCTCATTTCTCAACCCCAGGCAGACCATCCAGTCAGACACCAGCTATGCCCAGCCTCAAGCATCTGACAGGCTCCAGAGAAACACAGGAAAACTACTCAGGAGCTGGAAGTTAAGCATGTGCTTAAATACCTTGTTGCATCAATACATTCAGTGTTAACATGAGAGCAGCCTGGAGTGTGGAAGCTCCGAGAAGGGTATAAATCTTGAACATACACTGTCAGTGTCAGGAGACACCAGGCAGTTTTCAATTATCTATGAGAAAAGAAGTGAACAGAGTGCAACTCAATGACTTTCCATTGCTGGAAAGGGCAAAATAGGGTGGAAATGGGCTGATCTAGGTGAAATTTCTAAGCACAAATCTGTCAAAAAGAAAAACCTTGTTCAGGATGCACTCAAGCACATCATCTAAATACCAGACCAGTGGGGGCTGCTGGAATTTTCCCTTAGTCCTGAGCACAAACAGTGGCCAGGATTAATTCAGGAGCTCTCACAACCTCACTCCTGCAGAGACCACACCACCAAGGCAGTGACAGAGCTCCCAGCACAGGAATCAGCTGGGCAAAAATGTGCTCAAAAGTGAATGTTTCTGAACTAACACATTTGTTCACATAGTGATAAATGGATGGAGGAAAGGGCTGTGACAGGAAGGTCTATTTTAAAAATGCTCATCTTATTGAGGAGATTTTGAGCCTGCACTCATGTGAGTGATTAGCTACACTTTGGGGTGGATGCTGCTTGCCCGCAATGCTCAGAAATGTGGTTCATAACCAAGAATTGTCATGGCAATGAAGGCAGGCCAAGCATTTTTTCAGATAGTACTGGCACAGCTTAAACCTCCCTGTCTAAGCCCTTAGGAGGCCTGAGTTAATTGAATTTCCTGGGTCTGTCCTACAGCATTTGGGTAACCTTCCTAAGGAAAAGTAACTCAGGGAGAAGATACTGAGATAAATAATATGTTCTCATTAGAACTACAGCATAAAAAACAAAGCTGTGCTTTGTTGAGAAACTCAGTTATCAGAAACCACATGGATGGGGAAGGTTAGCTCAGCCTTTGAGGCTGGTCTCAGATGCACAAAGGACAGAAGAGAAGTTTGTGGGACATGGTGGACTAACCATTCTGCCTCTCTTCTACACTGAGCAGCTGAGAGTCCATCTAAAAAAGGGATCCAATAAATTAAACTGTTTGATCAGATCTTACACATCAATAAACCAACAGGCACATCTTCAGGGGAAATAGAACAGGTCAAAGCCAAGGGAAAAAAACCCATTGAACTGGACATGAAATACTTAGCCAGCACCAAAACCCAGAGTGCACTCCCTCAGCCCTCTCTGCACATGGAAAAATTGTGTGTGCAGAAAAGTCTATCCCTTTTCTAAGTATGGAGTGCCCTACCTATATGTAAGAGAAAATAAATTTGGGGCAAAACAAATCCCAAACAACAAAACTCTCAACTCACCATGGGATGTTTTGTGGCCTGTGATGATCTGTAGCTCCCCTAAGAGCCAGAGGCACATTCTTGGTGGGGTCACTCAGAAAACAAGCTTCTACATACCCCAAGAGATCTTTTTCCTACTCACCCTAGGAGGAACAGGTGCATCCCATAAAACCCAGAAAATGGTTTAAAAAATCTTTTTAGAGCATTGGACTGGCATGTAGAACTATTTTCCATTCAATTACCAGCATCAACAAGGGTCAGGCATCTTAGCTAATCTGTGCTGCCCCAGTAAAATCTAACAGTTTGCTATTGCAGGCACTAGTCAGGATCACTACTTTAGGAAGTCTCAGATGGACTTTCAAGCTACTCTTCACTTAAATTTTATTAAAAGATTTGAAATTTCTAAAGCATTTTTAAGGAAAAACAAATCCTGGCAAGTTCTCACTCCCCCTCGGAGCAAGCACCAGAAGTAGTATTTTGTTTTAAAAAACACTGAAATCCAGGTGCAGGGAGGGTAATGCAAGAGCTACTGACCATTTCCACCTACTAAAAAAAAAATAAAAGAAAAGGGCACAAAAAGAAACTCTCTTGCAGGTTTCTGAGTCAGTTTTGCTTCTTCACATTCAAACCTGTGGATGCTTGGATGGGTGGGAGGGAGGTTTTGTTTCTTGGGAGCTAAATCACTGGCTGTTGTCCGTGGAAGAACTCAGGTTTAGAGGGATATCCCCTTGGACACCCACAGAGGACATGTAGGAAGCTGTGTTTTCAGAAGGAACATAAAGTGATGAATTTTCAGGCAAGCTGATGAGGTCGTTCCCAAAGATGGACTGACGGTCGAGGAGGAACTGCTGGGCACTTTCAAGGATGACATCTTTCCCTAGGAACAGACAGCAGAAAATTCAGCTTCTGGAAGGCAGGTTGCCTAGTTTTACATATGTAGAACTGAAAAGTGACAAATCCCAACTGCAGCAGCAACTGAGGAGCCTCACTCCAGCAAAATTGCTTGGAAGTACCTGGGTAGAACTTGGACTCACTCAATAGCCCATTAAAATCAAGGGGAGTCTCTGCAGGTCACCTTGATCAAGCAGGTCAAGCAGGTGCTGCTTGAAAGCTGAGATGCCTCACAAGTGAAAGAGGGATGACTGAATGTTGGAGACACTGAGAAGAGGATGAGAGCAACTGCTCTTCTCCTTCACTCAAGATGTGTCTTTCTCCCTCTTTGTAGAAAGAGTTTGCAAACAGGGGATGCTCAAGGACTCTCTTCAGTGTACCTGGGCTTTTAATGCCTTTGAGGTGCTCGTGAAAGAGGCTGAGGCTGCAAGCCCTTGAATGACACACAATGAATCAAAACTGGGGCAGGTTCAGGTGGCTACAGCACCAAACTGGGGCTCACAAGAGCTTTTCTTTCAGGTCTATCCCAGCTGAACACACATGAACATACATCACGATTCCACAGCCAGGGCAACACTCCTGGATTCATATCTAAGGTCAATAACACACTTTATCAGAGTCAGCAAGTGGATCAGCTGGACTGTTCCCTTGAGGTCTGCTAAAAGGTCTGCAGAAAGGGACACACAGCCTGTGCCTCTGGCTGCCAGCAGCTGCTGGGGCACCTCCTCTGCAGCAGGAACCAGAGGAACCCCAACACTGTACCAGCTCTTACCACCCTTCCCACTGAGATCACCACATTGAACAGGCAGAGAAAACTGTGGAAACACTGTCAGACACGATGGGGACCCAGTGCAAAACCAGTTCAATTCCATTTACACCTCAGTTTATCCCCCACCCTTTTCCCACTGCTCAAGAACTGGCTCAGCAGCTGCTGTGGAAACATTGCTGGCTGACAATCATGAAAGTAAAATGACAGATGTGGTTTGCTCCCTCAAATGGCAAACTGTCCGTGCTGGACATCCTATGTGGCTGCCTGAACTACATCCTACTGCCAGGTCCACAGAGCTGCTGCTGCTCCTACCTGGGCAGGTGGTGTTGAATGGTGGGTTGAACACTTTTGGGGGCAGCTCAGTTGCACTCTTCTCCAGATCCACCGTGAGTCGCTGCATCTTGATGCAAAAATATAAACTACAATGTACAATTATACAAAGACAGGGGAGCTTGTTAGAACTAGGCCATGTCTGAGCGCCGGTGCTTCACCCCACTGCACAACACCCACAGGAACACAAGAACACAAGCCATCCTCCCTGCTCAGCCTCTCCCCCAGCCTCTCCCCACCTCACTAGAACAGCCACACCACGTGCTCAGGGGCAGATCTGCCCCAAGGACACGGCTGCGGGAGGTGCAATCCCCTTTTCAGCACTGGCTAATACTGTGTGAAGCTCATGTCACATGAGGGGCCAGGCTGCTGTCACTGTGGCTGCCATACAAAGCAAACCCACAGTCCTCTGAAGCCAGTACAAAGAGGAAAGAGATTTTCTTTCCATTTTCCTATGACTGTCTTTAAATTGAAACTGGTTTTTGCTTACACAGTGCTCTAGGCACAGAGCTCCTGCACGTATTGCTTCCACACTTCTCCATGCTCATGACTTTCTGTAGGACAAGCAAGAGTTCCTGGGAAATTTAGTGGGCTCAAGGACTGAACTATTGAACATTGCAGCCCCCTTTCCTGGCCTTTTATTGTAATTCTTTTTAAAAGGTTATAGCCCTTGCTTCCAAGACTTGCTAATTAATATTAACTATTTCCTAGACACTCTTCTTCCTAACACTCAGGAAGTGGAATTACCTAGAAAATTCAAAATTATTAAAACCTAAAAAGGATGTTGATACCATGCAGAAGGCTTAGAGACCTTTTGCATTTCACTACTTGAGCATCTTGTAGAGATATCTGTCAGAACCATCCAAGCTTTCATTCAACTTGGTTGTCACAAGGGCTCTGAAAATTCACTCTCTCACACAGGAAAAGGAGCCCAGCCATGCAATACACTTCCAACCTTAATCCTTCTGTGAGTCTACAGTTTCCTTCACTGTTTATTAAACCTGCTCTTTCTGCACTGCAGAAATGTCTGTGTAAGTATCAATTCCAAAGAAATACTGCCCAACAATTTCTCCATGCTTCTTCATGCACGGGCATGCAGGAACCTCTGTTGTAGTTGCATGATATTTTACTGCTCCTGAAACATACAGGGATGGCTGCACTTTGCAAAGGCATATTTTATAAAGATCTCTAGCACAAAGACACTTTATAAATCTATGGTATTAGTAGGATGTGACATTCTCACTAAGAGAAAGTTTAGAGCAGCCAGTTGCAATTAAAGCCTCTAGGACACCAACAGTCAAAGCTTGTCTCCAGACAAAGCCTGGCTGAGTGGGAAAAACAGGTCAAGAGTATAATACAACACTCCCATGCTGCCCCCAGGAGATGCCTACGTGCTGTGCTTTAGCTCACTCTCCCCTCTGGTTATGAAATAACTTCCTCAGTTATGCACAAGCTCTGCTTCATAGTTCCATTATTATTTAGGCAAATAAATCTAGGGGAGGTGTCCCTGCAGTGGGCAGGGGCTTTGGAGCAGGATGAACATTAAGGTCATTCCACCTCAGCCATTCTGGGGTTCTGTGATTGCTGTTTTCATAGCTCAGAAACACACAGCTCTTACCGGGGGCAGACTGGCTTCCACTTCAGTCAAATTCCACTCACTCAGAGATAAATTGGGATTAAAGACCTGTTGGGACAAAAACACAGTTAGGGTTGTGAAAGGTGAAATGGTTTGAGATTCCCATGCCCTGCCCTGCCTGCTGGAGGGTGCAGCCCTGCACTAACTGGAGCTGCACACAAAGGCTCCTGTGCTGACTGGAGGCACAGCTGGGCTGGGCTGGGGGCACTTGTGCTGAGCCAGGAGCCTGCTGCCTGCCAGGGGAGGGACAGCACAGACACCCCATGCCACTGTCCTGTCACTAACCAGGGCAGCTCACACACAAATCAAAGCCCCTTTCTGCTGCTCTTGAGTCCTAGGGCACTCCCAGATTCAAATGACTTCTAAAAGCATTCCAGAGTTTAGTAGCAGAGGGCACGTTACTGTTGCATCAGGGTTTTGGTGGCAATTTCTTGACAAGTCTGAGCAATTTGGGAAAAGGATCTGTTGATCTGAGGCCAATTTTGAGATTCATCCTCACTCTTGTGACAGTTGCACAGAGAGAGAAGTATGTCAGTAACAGGAAAACACTTCCTAATGAGAAACAAGAAACAGAAATCAACAGTCAGTGATAGAGCAACCATTAGAAAAGCTCTCTGGAAAGTCAGAATCAACCACAGACACTTGGGAACTGCTTGAAGAGAATAAGATTGATTTTTTTTTTAATTACTTTTCACTTTTCTGTTTATCCATGCAAGCTTACAACCTGCCTTTACCTGAAGCACCTCCTCAAGGGGACATATATTTGACACATAGATTTTTTTTCTAACATACAGAGTTATTTGATTGTTGGCAAAAACCTTTCGTATACCGACTATATGTACAACAAAGAAATAAACAAACCTTCCTGTTTCTGCATGTCTGCTTAAGAAAAAGCCACCATCAGTTTTCTAAAGAAAGATGATCTAAGAACTGAGACTGATAAATAGCTCAGGATTCAATAGAGAGGATTTTACATTGGCTACACTTCCCAGAATATGAGGAAGAGGGGAAGGTAGGAAAAGCTAAACACAATCTAGGAATATCTAAGATGTAGAATATGCAGAAAATTAATTAACCCCAACAAAGAAATTATTAAACTAGCTAGAGAGTCATATTAAACAAATTTTACATAAATGTGTCAGGTCTCATGTCTATTTCTTTACAAAATGCACTGCTTTGTGCCCCTAGAAGTCCAAATATGCATATTAAAAAGAAAAAAAAAAGGGCACAATTTAAAGCTGAAATCTTATGAGCAGGTCAAAACAGAGCTGTGACTCCACAAGCTGCATGTGGCAGACAAAATGCCACACGAGAACAAGCAGCATGACCTGAATCACAGCCCAAAGGAACCTCTGTGAACTTCACAGCTCTGTTTGATGCAGCCTTCCCAGGAACACTCACATCCAAGAGGCTGGCAGGCTCCAGGCTGTACTGCTGGCTCCTCAGCAGCAGCTGCAGCCCCTCCAGGCTCCAGTCGGTGCCCTCCAACGGGTCTGAAATGTCTGTTCTGAGAAAACACAAGGGGAAACATTGCCACAAAGGAAACCTGCAGAGGTACCTACAGAAAGCAGGACTGAGCAGCCTTCCAAAAGGATGTACATGTTTAAATCTAATTTTGAAAACCAAGAGCCTGCTGTCAGCCTGGGTTTATGCCATAAAACTTGGTTTAATCCCAGAGTACAACTCAGCAGAGCACACAGGGACTGGGCAGATGGTAAAACAAATGAGACAATCCCTCTGCTGGGTGACACGTGGTTTGGGGATGGATAGTCTGTGCACATCTCCTCAACACTGGGAAAATTAAAGCTTTCCCTTAGAAGAAATCTTTTTAGAAATGCACTTGTAACCAGAACAGGCTGCATTGCCACTCTCCTTTGTCAGAGATGCCTGAATTACTGTTAATTAATGCTTTTTAAAGGAGTGACTTTTAGCTGCAGGCATTTACCCTGCAGGCTGCATTTACTACAGACATTCAACTAAATGAGCAACAGTGAGGCCCTGCTGTGATTAAACCCCCTGAAAGTTATAAAAATTTTCTCTTAAAATCAGGTCTTTAAAAAAGGGATTATTTTTCTTCTAGTAGTATGTTTTTAAGCATCCAGTGGGTTCAGAGGGAGGACTTTGATTCTCTCTAACAATTTAAAGGAAAATGGAAGCTTTTCTGATAACCCTATTGAGTGTTTTGGGTTCCCCTCCTTACACTGTTGCAGTTGCTATCAAGAATGAGCTGCAGTTAAGTTCCCCATCATCCACCCAGCTGCACCATGCTTTCCTTCTGCTGGACACTCCCCCATGACATGGCTGCTGTTGGGATTTCAGTCTCAGAGCACAGCCCCAGAAGTGGCACTGGGATCACCCTGGGGCTGAGCCTGATGTCCCAGTGCCAGTCCCCTGGGCAGGGCTGTGGCACAGTGCAGTGCAGGCCTGCAGACAGACACAGATGCTGCTCTGGGCTCCAGCTTTCACTCGGACCTTGGGCAAATCCCTCTCAATGCAAAAAGCCTTTTCCTGCTCCCACAGTTCTGCACATTCTCTGACAGCTCTTCCTCTGCCGGCTCCTTCAAGCAAGTGATCCACATGCCTCCTACCTCTGTGAACTGACCCCTGGGATTAAGGGGTCCTCTGCAGGTGCCACAGGTAGAGGATGGAGCTCATCAGGCTGCACTTGGTGCTTGCAGTGACCCTCCCTCCCCACCTGGGCAGGGGAGGAGAGGGCCATGAGCAGGCAGGGCCGCAGCTCTCCCTGCTCGCCTCACCTGTCCAGCAGGGCCCTCCTGCCTCTCCTCTCGGGTGCCTGGGAGGTCCCTGGTGGGGCTGCACCACAGCTGCCTTTGCCCTCCAGGACAGACTGGACCATGGCCACGGGCAGCACCGGGGGCTCGGAGCAGGCCCGGCAGCCGGGCAGGGGCACCTCGGGCTCCGCGCTGCCTTTCACTCCGGGGCTCACTGGCTCTTCCTTGATCAGCATGAGGCACTTCTCCCTGCGGCAGAGACAAGGCTGAGCACCACACACAGCTGCTCTGCAAAGGCCTCGTGCTACTGGGAAGGGCAGGAGCACAAGGCCTTGCTCCCACTTCCCACCAAACTGCCGCAGAAGGTCTTTCCATTTCCTCAGATGGGCAAAAGAAGGCAGCAGCCTCTCTTTCTTTTCAGCAAGCTCCAGAAACATGCTCAGCTGGAATATCTGCAGTCACTTCATCAGTCACAGCTATAATGAATTTGCCCCATTCAATTGTTTTGCAAATATGGAAAATAAATTTCTATGCACTGATCATTTCTTGGGTGAGTGTTAGGGACACATTAAAGGGACACTGGGCTAAAGAGATTCCCCTGAAAAAGAAAAGTCTCCACCTTAGAGATAAGAATGGGATCAGTAAGACCATCCCATGCAGGAGTTAGGATTCAATCAGCAAGCACTCTAGAGAGCCCAGTGACACAGGTCAGGATCCTGTGGCCCTGCAGGACTTGAACAGAAGCTGTCAAGATCTGACAGTCATAGTCAGATGTTTTGCTTAGTTGGAGGCAGAGGTTTGCCTTTTCCAATGGGAAGGGCACCCCACATTATTTCCAGATGGAAAAATGACAATGAAGTTTTGTTTAGAAGAATTTTGTGTGTAAAAACCTCTGTGTTACTTGTAGGAGACATAAGAGCTCCCTGTGAACCTGCACAGCTGGAGCCAAAGCAACAAAGGCACGGAGATAACAGGGATGGTTTGTGACACTACAGAGCTTTCCTCAACATTCCTTTCAGGTCATCTTCTCATCTCGTGGGGCCTAAATTCCCACCCAAAACATAACTGAATTAGGAGGTACCACACCTGACCTGACTGGGGCCATGGCTGGCTCAGATGTTAAAGTTGTGCAGACACAGAACAGATCAGAAGCCACCAGATGGCACTCAGTAATTAGTAGAAATAAGCAACTTAACTTGAAGGTGATATTAAAGATTTTCTGCTTTAGAAATGGCTTCCAGGTTTGTTGTTTTTTTTTTTTTTTTTTTTTTCAGTCTGAAGCTCTTTACATGCTTCTAGTTAATTTTATGGCTATGGTTTCAATTATGCAACAGATTTACAGGCAATTTCTAGAGTATAACTGCCTTGCCTCTGTGCCTGAGAAACTCTTTCCATGATTCATCTGTCTACTTACTTTCCACTGACATAGCTTTAGCTATTCTGCTGCTAGCCCTAAATACACTGCATGTCTGTGGCAGGAAGAGATAAGCATTAAAATACCTCTGCATTCAGTTCTTAAGTTACTGGGGCCTTTTCACAGAAAAGTTGTCAAACATCGGAAGCTGTTGTGATGCAACCTTTCTGTTCTCATTAGCTGTTAGATGTACAATTTGATTGCTTCTTCTTTGCCAAAGCCAAAAGGAAACCCTCCTTTCTCTCTCTCATACAAGTGTCAGTATCTTATTATTTAATTAAGTCTGAGACAGTCCCTGTCTTGGGACTAAAGAAACATGGAATATTTCTCCAAGTGGGGAGTGGAAGTTCTCAGCATGAAACTCAGGATTTTGTTTTGAAAGTTATGCTGTTATTACCCCCCTCTAATTCTGAAAATCTGACCCACTTTGCAAACTGGAAAAATGTATTTCATCCCATATCTCCATAGAGATTTGCAAATCAGACAGAAACTTTGGTAGAATTACAGCCCCAAAAAAACTCTTGAGAAGAGTTGCATAAGCATGTTTATACCCAACTCTCCCTATTTTTAATCACAAACATGTTTACCTGTCATTTTCAGGAGGGGATTGCATATTCATGATGTTGGATGGTGATGCTTCAGTAACATCAGATATGATGGGTCCTCCAGCAATTGCAGGGCTGTTTATGCAAGAGGCAGGCTCTGTCGATGGCTAAGAAGAAAGCAAAAGTCATATACATTTATCCTTCTGACCCCAACACAGGTCCGAGGCCCCATCTGAGATGGTTAGGGTTTATTCACTGTGATTTTGAGTCCCCCCTTTATGGAAACCAAGAAAGATTTCACCTACTATGCAACATTATAGTTTCCTCTCACTTTTCCTCCAACCGCACAGAGGTACAGGTGTGAAATGAACCCTGTGAAGTGTCAGCAACCAAGAGGTTTTACCATGTCTGACATTTTGCCTAGACTGCTCAGTTTCCTCTGGAGGGAAAGATCCAACACAGCCCAATAGGGCTGTATGAGCCTCTCAGGCCAGCTCACATATTTTAACTGCATGACAGAAGTGTCTGGTGTCTGCTCTGCTGATGGTGGGGATCCCTCAGAGGGTACAAAAATCCCACTTTTATTCCCTCAAGGTGAACCGGGCTGGGGTAACAACATGGAGAGTTCAGTGTGCAGGGTCTGCCTTTCCCCACAAAGCCCATGGCCTTCCTCATGAAGGCATCCATAAAACTGGGGAGCTGAAGGAGTTTTAAATGTCATTCAGCTTAGCAAACTTCGTTTCTTCTTCACTGCCAAAATCTTGCCAAATTACTTACTCCATAATCTCTATTATTGCTGCAAACACTCCCCCCAGCCAAAGCCATCCCAGAGAGGCCAGAGGCTGAACGCACCGACTGTATGAAATAGGGGTCATGGAGGGGGTCTGGGGACAGGTGCCGGCTGAACTTGGGCACCGGTGCAGCCGAGATCCCGTTGTCAAGCATCAGAGGTCTGTGAAGAGAAACAGTTTTGTCTTCCAGCATCTACTGACTGGCTCCTGGCTGCTCACACACAAAACATCCCTGAGCCAAGAGCTCTTCTCCCCTGTCTACTCTGGTTCTCCTCAGCTGTAAGAGTCTTTCTTGCCTGGTGTTATGGGCAAGGAAGGCCAACAACAGTTTTGGAGGAGGTCACCGTCAAAAAGAGCATTACCCAAACAGAGAGGGGAAGGACGCAGACGTGCCCATGCTGCCCAAACCTACCCAGAACCCCCAGGCAGCACTCTGCTCTGCACCAAGTAGCTCCAGGCTGCACACCATCCTTTCCTGCAGCCCTTTAGAAGAGGCAGGAAAACACAAATATGAAAGACAAAACACGAAGGATGCAGATAAAGACAGAAGAGCTGAGGTTTCTGGAAGACAGACCTTTGTGTTTCCAAGGAAGCAGGAACTCAAATTACCTTGCAAATTGCAGCTGGTTGTGTGAAGTGTAATCCCCCATCATAAGGGGGTCAATACAGTTGCTGTGCAGGTATTCCTGTGCTCTTCTGCCCTTTTCAGCACAGTTTCTCACTAATTATTTGCCTTTTTACAAAAAAGCAATGGCCTAAGACATTTCTTGGGAGGCAAAGCTTTTACAGGGAGGACACAGCCCTGACCATGAAAATTAGAGGTTAGATCTGGCATCTCATATTTCTGCTTGCCCACTCTACTGGAGGAAAATTTCCCCAGTCATGAACCTCAGCAGCTGCTATTCTCTCCTTGAGCCCTTTTCTTTTCTGTCTGCAGTGTTTAGCTCTTCCAAGAGGCTCAGCAGAGGGGGTAGGCAGAGATGCACATACCCTGCTGGCTTGTACAGATTATGGGCTCCTTCATTCAATGTTGTGCTGCCCTTACAATCCTCACAAGAGGAGTCAGTCAAGAACAAGGACACTGACTTAATGAAAATTGACTCCTTTGAGGTGCTCGTGGGAGGTCTGGCTTCTTTCTCCTCAGCATGGAGAAGTTTCTAAGTTGTCAAAGGCCACAAGGTAATAAAGGTGGGAACTGGAGGCAGGTCTCTGTTCTCAGCAAATTCCACTCAATAGTCTCTTCCCCTTCTTTAAATTACAAGCACCCCAGGGCAAGAAAGGCATAGCTGCTCTCCTGAAAGGCACTAAGCTTCCTAATTCAAGTCATTCTATTCACTTGCCTTTAAGAGCCTATCTAAAGATACCCCTCAGCTAAAATTTTTCCCCACCTTCCTCTTTGTAAGGCCTGCAGGTTAACACCACCAAGCCAGTGATGGATACACGCCACATTCAGTGGCTGTGGGTCAAACTAAAGGTGTCTGTGGGCTGGCTGGGCCCAGCCCTGCTCCTACTGCTGCCAAGTGGCAAAACTGGAACCTGCAGGAGCAGCAGTGGGGTCCTGCCCTTTGGCCTCCCTCTAGTTAGCACTCCCATGTCCCTCTGCGTGCTGTGTTCCCCAAATAAAGGTCACGAGCTGACACGGTGCTTCTCTACAGAGCAGTGAATGGGGCCTGTCAGCAGGTCTGACTCTGCACTTCAGCCCATTCAGCTCCCATCACCATGGAGCCCTGGTCCGGTGACCGCCCGCCTGGGCGAGCTGAGCTTGTGCTTTTACTGAGGGGGCAGCATTATGCACCCGTGAGCGTGTGCACCACACACGGGGACTTACAGCTTCCTCTTTATCCCAGTGCTGCTGGGGCTTGATTGGAGCTGGCCAAACAGAAACTGAATCAGCTGTCAGGAGAGATCAAAATCCGGTGTTAATCAGCAGAGTGATTCAGCACTCCCTGCTCTCGCAGCCATTCTTGTCTCACACATTCCTCCCTCCCAACAGCACCCCAAAACAGCCATAGAATATAAGAGCCAAATTGCAAGAGACATTGGAGCCTGAAGCAGAAATGAGATGTCCAAGAACTCAAAACAGCCTGCCTGTTTTCAAGGGACACAGCCAGGTGCCTGCTTTGTGCAAGGGTTCCTGGGTGCATGTGCTCAGCACTTTCTCTCTTCACTGCATGCATGAAGAACTTCAGCTGGTCCTAACAGACCGGCGAAGTGCACACGCAAACATTCCTAGGCCCGGAGTTAGACCTGGATCCACTAAAGTTTTCAGAGACATTTAGAAGAGGTGCTATAAAGTCTGGCAAAGACTTTGCAAGTGAGAGAGGCAACTCCCTATGGAAAGCCTGGATGGAGGTCTGAGCTCTTTCAGTTGAGTTTTTCAGTTCTGTGAATGTCAGTGTTGATATAACAGGACACTAAAAAGGAGGGAGAGTAGCTTTGGAGAGGAATCACTTAGCAACATATTCCCAGGTCAGCTTGAACTTAATGCTCTGCTTTGACCTCCAAACAAAGAGAGCATTATTATTATATATCACAGCTGGCTCTTACTCATTGCTCAATATAACAAAATAGAGTTGCATAAAAGCCTCTACAAAGAAGCATGTGGCTGGTCCAGCCTCAGAGCTGGAGGAAGGCTTGATAGCCTCGTGCATTTCTGTCCAGTCCTGTGACTCCATGATGCCACGTGAGGGTCAGAACGTGGGGACTGGGATGTGTGACGTGCCCAGTCATGTCAGCACCATCCAGGAATCACTGGAGAGGCCTTTTCTATACTGGTCATGCTAGATTTTAAGGGAGATGGTTCTGCAGCCTAAAAGGTTGTACAGTAATTCCTCAACTATACCAGTAATGCCAGAAAATGTAACAGTGGCTGTTACATTCCCCCAGTGGGGCAATGGGTGGCCAATTCTGCACCTGCAGCTCCCCACAAGTGCTGGCAGCAGTGGGATTCCTCTTGTGAACAAATGGAAGAGGAAGATTTGGGAAGCCCAAAGGCATCGGTACAACCAGAACACAGCCAACACAGGGCAATTAGTGACAGTTGTGCTCTCCTGCCCAGGATTTCAACAGAAAAGTGGTTTCTAACATCAAAGAAAGGACTGACAGAAATTAAAATCTTTTGCTTAAGGGTCTGTGCTTTGTTAATGACCTGTTTCTATAGGACACATAAAAAGCATCACACAACTTAAAAGAAAGGGAAAATAATTACACTGTGGTATCACAGTGTGGAAATTATGGGACAAGAAAAAAAATCAGAGGAGGATATAGACCAGACAGCACAAGCAAGTTTGGAGTTTATATGGTAACTACCTTGTTGATGACTTTCTGTTGCTGTGAGTGGTTCTGCCGCAGAGAAACAACTTCCCGCCAAAGAACTTCATTTTGCCTGAAAGTGAAACAGACATTTTCCATGAGAACAGAAACATCAACAGCCCATGGTGCTGCTATGATGCACAGTAGATTCAACTGTGCAAAGTCTGTCTCACTTCCAGGCTCTTGCAGTGTTTGGCTCTTTTCAGTGTCCCAAACAAGCTCACACAATTTCCTTCCTTCTTCTTCCTTGACCTCAAGAGAACTATGGACCAAAGCATGGAGGAAAAACATAAAGAGAAGCCAACATTTATAGGGGAAGGTAACAAGAGGACACATGTTTTTGTGGAACATTTGGGCCAAACTCAGAATTTCAGCAAGGCCTGATTTGTGACTGTGAGTGATTTGGATCACCCAGACTGTCCTTCCATGGCAGCCCAGAAAGCCCAACCTCTCCACAACTGCACCAGTGTTCCCAAAGACAAGACTATGAACCGAGACCCTGTGTATTCTAACTGCTTAAAACTCATACAAGTGGTGGTTCAAATGCATGTTTGGTAGTGACTGGAGCAGACAAAAAGATGCTCCTGCATCTCAGAGCCTTGAACTAGGAGGACTGTAATGATGTTATTAGTGGGAGCCACTGATTTAACCCAACACAGACCTGTGTCCAGCTTGCATAAAGAAAATGTATTTTCTGTCTGTAAATGAAGCAGCACAGAGTGGAGCTTACAGGCGTCCTCTAACAGTCAGCCCCTAGGTGGGATGGAGAGAGGCAGAGTTTATTTACTGTGCTGCCTTCAAGTCTGGATGCCAGCCAAGTCCATGCTGCTAAAGGTTTTGCCAGCCAATTTATCTCTAGAGAATATGGACGTACCTAAACTGTCAGGCCAGCAAAACCTATCATACAGGTGAAACTGATAAATCCTTTTGCTTTCTAGTGTTTCTAGTGTGGATGGATGCTAGAACTGGGAAGGTAAGGTCCAGAGATCTGAAGAGCACAGTAGAACAGCTTGTATAGCAAGAATCTCTGCAGTGAGCTTTCTGTACTGGTCCTGACAGGATCTTCAGCAAAGCAGCATTCCTTAGTCTGACAGCTTGTACTGGAGTTATGTCCTAATTGTTCTTCACCAGTGTAAATTTCTTAACATGGAATCCGCTTGGGATTTCTCCTCTGTCTTAGTTTATAAAAATCACATTATTTTCATCAGTTGAATGCAATTTTGCCAGATGGAGGGAAGGAGCAAGCAAATCAAAATGGAGACTAAATTAAAATCAATGCCAAATCACTAATACTGAAACTCCTTAAAAATTAAATGCAAGCCCAGAAACTCATTGCTGCTGTATCTGGATTTAACAGTGCAAACTCATGGAAGTGCTAAGTGTGGGAGTCATTAAAAATTGATGCAGGATAAAAATAGGCATCCATTGCACGTAAGGTGCTGGTCTAAAATGAAGTTTCCCAGTATGCAGTGTTACTCTTAAGGCCCAGAATGACAGTGTCATCTGGTGGTGTATGAATATCAGCTCTCATTACAAAAGAAAGGGTTTGGGTCTATTTGATTATTCAAGTGCTTTTTAAACAAAGCTCTCTGTAAAGATTAAAATTCTGGAGGCAAATAAAAACCCCTCCAAGTACATGATTTATAAAACCATATCCACTTCCTCATCTTTTAGTGACCATGTCTGAGTCAGAAAATCCCAGAGTCTCAGACAGCTGGAGGCAGCCACATGCAGGAAGCATTGCATCAGCTTGGTTTGCTCTTATCCAACAATTCTGGCCATGTCAGATGACACAGTCTCAGGGAGATGAGTCCATGGACTAAATTATACAGAAGTTCTTATGTTACATATTATAACATACTATATTTTTTAGGCCAGTCATAAATTTTGGAGGTGAATGATAGCAGAAAAGTAATTTCTTAATAGCTGGAGTGGACTCCACCACATTTCTTTCAAGGACTCTTGTATGTGTGAGAGTTACATCTTTATCACCACTTCCATCTGGAGGCAATAGTTATCTAAGTCCCCAGGTTATGCACATATTTCCTGTGTGACCTTCTCTGTGCTTTCCTCATCTGTGAAGGGAAAACAAACGAGACAGAGAGGCTGAGCATTAATTCACATTTTGTAGATCAGATGTGCATAGAAATCCTACATGTCTCAACAGATCTCTGGTCAGTCCCTGGCTCCACGTGCTCCCTGGGGAGGGAAGTGTGCAAGGCTCCTCCTTTCAACCCTTCCCCACTCCAGAGAAGCAAATGCCCGTAGGAAGCAGCCTGAGTAGGATTCAACTCACTGCTTCATGTCCTGCACTTGACACTCCATGTTCTCCTGCTGACTCCTCAGTATCTGTACCTCGTATAGCAACCTGCTGAGGTCCTCCTGGCGCATCTTGGTCTCCTCACTTTTCACTACTGACACCTGAGGTGAAAGAAATCAAAGGTCGATTTTACCTGTGCAAGAAGGGCCATGGACAGAGACAGTCATTGTGGTGGCTCAGGTGCAGGACTGTCACCAGCTGAAACACCAGGACAGGCCACGTGCCAAAGAGTCTGAACTACTGCAAGAGACAAACAGAGCAAAGTGCAGGACAAATCTACTCATACACAGGGTCTGCTGGCAGAATTACATTCCCTGTCAGAGTGGGGACCTATTTCAAATCAGCTTGGGGGAAAACAAAGGTATTTTGAGTATCAGTGAGGAATTGATCTAGACTGATTAAATCTTTCTGCTTTAACTACAGAGATACCCAATCAAGCCTTATGTTTTACAGGGATGAGTCTGATGAAATGTTTCAAATTGACATACTACACTTGGATTTCCAAAAGGCTTTTATTCAAGTCCCTTTTCAGAAGTTACTATGCTAATTTAGTAAGAGAGCAACACTTTGTGGGTATTAATAATAGGTTAAAAGACAGAAAACAGAGGGCAGGAGTAGGTTGTTTCTTGTATAAGAAAAAGAGATGGCTGTTGAAGACCCTGCAGGACTTATGCCATATTTCTCTAGGAAAGCAGTAACAATTCAAAGGCAGAGGGGTGGAAAGCAAGCCTGGCCCTGCAGCACTACACAAACATCTTGTGATAGAGCACAACAGAGCAGAAAAACACAGACAAAGCCCTGCAAACCAAGAACCTGCAGCCTAGGTGCACATGTGTGTGGGGAGGACAGGGACAAGACCAGGGTGATGCTGGAGTCATGCTGAGCAGGATCTGGCAGGTGCCTGTTCCCCCCTCCCACACAGTGCCCTTACCTTCCTCTTGATGTGCTCCAGGAGGTGCTCGTGGCCCTGCAGGAAGCAGAGGTGCTGGAACTCAGTGTCGTCCCTCTCAGGCTTCACCAGCCCCCCCTGCTCGATGTTCACCACCTTCCTGAAGCCATCTGCACAGAGAGGACACGGCTGATGGGCAACAGGAGCCAGCACTCCCTCCAGCTCCCACCCTCATCACTCTTGAGGACATCTCTAATCACTCTCCACACTTTTTGAGCTGCTAGCACTTATCCCTGGATGTGCTTTTGGGGCACAACCACCAGAAACCCAGGGCAAGGGAGAGCCCTGTGTACCCCACTGGCCACCCCTGCTGCAGCCTATGTCATGAAAGCCTTTCCATCATGGGCACATTGGTCTGCCAGGAGCAGAAATGCCAGCTGTTAGGGAATTCCTGTCTCAAGCAACAGGGATTCAGGGAAAGGTTTTTCAAAGGCACAGACCATCAACAGGTGACACTTCTGGAAAAAAGGGTCACGTGTACATTTGGAAATCTCCTTTGAGTACTTCTCTGAATCCTTAAGAGTTTCTAAGCTGTATTTAAGAACTGACCTACAATTCACAAATATGCTACTTTAGAGTGAAATAGCAAAGTTAAAACATGACTAAGGAACTTAATTACCCATTGAAAAAATTCCAACAGCTATTAGAACAGTCATATTGTGGAAATGGCTGAAAATTACATCAAATTTAAATTACACCTCCTTTAAGGGGTAAAAATGTCTGATCAGCAAGGCAAGGTTTGCAGGGAGAAGTACTGTCTGTTACTAGTTCAGTGATATGGCTGGTGAAAGGGATAAGCTCAGGGCACAGGACCCACAAGAGCAGCACATTCTGGGGGAGGTGTCACAGTTGGTGGCCGGATAAAACTCCATATAGAATAAAATGGAAAATTAATAATAATAGGTCATCAAATCAATGCAAGAGAAGCAGAACACCTGGTTCTTAGCCCACATCCTGAAATGCAATCTAACAGAAATTCCATGCTGGAATTTAAGGTAAACACAAGGAGATCACTACTCTGGGATCTGAGAAGCAGAACCTCTTTGGCAAAAGCAATAATGCCACAACAAGTGGCACATAGGAGACCCCAAACTCTCCTCTGCACAATTCTCTCCCACAGCTCCTGTCCTCCCATATCTGTGGGGCCCACATGCCTGTGAGCTGCACTCACACATGTTCAGCTGCCGGACGAAGCTGGCCATGTTGTTGTGCTTGAAATACTTGGGCAGCACCTCTTTGGCAAAGCGGCCTTGGTCAAACACATGGAAGCTGGTGCCATTCTGCAAAGGAGAGAAGGACAAAGTCAGGGGAGCATCCCTGACCATGAGAGGTCCAGGAGGAGTCCTACAGCAGGGGAAGTCTTGTTCTCTGAATTGCCACCTTGAAGCTAAGAGTGACAACAGCCCTCAATGACAGATGTGCTCCTTTCAGTTCTGGTACAGTCGGGCCTCTGTGGCTGCAGGTTTGATCCTTTTCTGCTTTTTGTCACTGCTTAGTTGAGAGTCTTGGATGTGAGAAAGAAACCACTGACTTTTGTGCCCAAATAGCTGGTAGGTAGTTTGTGATCATCCCCTCTTGCACAGACTTCACAGAAAGACTTGAGTCTTAAGAAGGCCCTGAAAGTGGGAATTGCCATTATAACCTACTTGTTCAGATCCAACCCCAGTCCATCTGCTCCAGAGCACAGCAGTCCTGGAGGGAGCACTGCCTGGAGGAGACATGGCACAAGAAACACAGCAAGGCAAGAAGCAAATCATCTCTGTAGACACCACACTTGCCCAGAAGCTCTACGCATATTTTATTGATTATTTTAATAGCAAACAGCCACAAGGGCAACCATAAAATGTTGACAGTCACGCTTTGCAGCCCAAGCTAGCAACACACGTGTTAATCAGATAAATCTTCCGTTTCTGGGGTTGCATTGCAAAGATCCATGACTGCCAAACAAGGCAATCTGCCTGGGATTGCTGGCAGAGAAGATGCACTGCAGGCCATGTGCTTTCCCTGCCTGGCCTTCTACCTGCTGACAGCTACATCAGTGCAATGACATCAGCAGATATTAGGGACTTGCCTCAGCTGTAGCTGAGTTTGAAGGGGCAAGAGCTAAAGACAGCAAAACCTGCACCGTGTTGGCAGGGAGGGGTCTGAGACCAGCACACCAGAGTCATCCTCCTGCTGTGTTCAGTGCTGCTACCAGCAGAGGTGTCAGCCTGGGTGGGCATTCCACAGGGGCTGGTTTGTGGCACAGGACAGTGTTTTGTAGGAGTCCTCGGGCTCTGTGTGCAGTAGGAGGGTACCAGTGGTGTGAGTCCCACCTCACACCATCAGGGGGTCTGCAGCTGCCATGGTGCTCTCAGGGAAGTCTGGAAATCTCTGAAACAGGGAGTGAATCAGGGCCATGAGATAGCTCAGTGACTAAAGATGGGCTGGTGTGTGCCTGCAGCCTGCCCATGGCCTCAGAAACCAGCCAGCTGGCACACCCTGCTGCCCTACACTGCATTTCCATCACCACATGGTGCCAGTTGCCTCTGAGCTCTAACAATTAACACCCACGAACACGGGACTTTGGGTCAGCTGCACTTCTTGCTCCTTGCTTACTACTGCAAACACTGAACATGACTGTGCCTCAACAGTGCTCTTGGACCATTTTTGGGGACTTCCCCATCATTCCTTACCCTATGCAGCAGAAGCAAAGGCTGATCAAGCATTTAAGAGATTCACTGACCACCTGCATGTTGGAATTATCCTGTCTTTGAGAGTTTGCAGACAGGACAGCAGGGATCAGGGTTTCCCAACACTGCAGACACTGCCCTGGGGACCCAGCTGGTTTATTCTGCTTCCCTTGTGCTTCAGCCCCCTTACTCTGCCATACAGCTGTGTGTCCCAGGCTGGACCCACTGATGGAAAATGAGAAGCATGAGTTTTGTATACCTCAACAAGTCCTTATGGCCTCTCATGAGAGACCATTCCTTTGAATTCAGGGCCACAATGCTCTCAAAAGCTGGCACACTCAGAAGGGCTCCCACAGACACAAGAGACTTTGGGGTTACTGTGTGCTCACCATGTCAGTTTGTTCCCACACTGCAGTTCTGCCTTGGCTGTTTTACACCAAGGGAGCACAAATCAGAGAAACTCTGGAAGTCTTCTCTGCCCAAAGCAAAACTGACTCTGCAGCACAACAATCGTGGCAGATGCTTATCTTTACTGCTTTGGACAGAATTAGAAGGACAGGCATGTTGTGCTCTGACAAGACAAGTGCTAGTCTAGGAATTTGCCAGTTCTCCCTTACTGCACTTCCATTTTAAAAATGAATTTAATTACTTCTTGCCCAATCTACCACAGACACAGAGAGCAGACTTTTCCTTTCCACTTTACAGCAGACTTTGGTGTATATATAAACCATTACTGCATCTCCTCTCCATCTCTTCTTTATGCTAAGAAACAGTTCACAGCTCCTTATAGATCTTGTTTTCTAGAAGTACTGTTTAAACCCAGAAATCGTAGGTATGCACACAATCTCTCAGCTCCAACATCACCAATGCATAGACGCTGAAGAATATGTGAAACATGGATACCTGCAACAAGGGGAAAATGAGACACCTAAAAGCCTTACCAAAACCACCAAGGATGCAGTTGCAGACGCTGTTAGTTTGCAGGAAAGTAGAACGTGGTGGTGGTCAGTCAAAAATAACAGAGTTCTAAGTATAACAGAGAGGGGACTATTTACACAGGTTAGAAAATAATTTCTAGCTTTAAAATCCTTATTTAAAACTTGGTGGTTCTCAGAGGTATGGCCATGTAATACCAGCATCAAACAACCATGGTCACAGATATCAATGCAGCTGTCTCAGGTTTTAAATGAAAACTCTACTGGACACAAAGTACATATAAGAAAGGCTGCTTTAGACTTTTTTACCACCACCCTTTAAATTTGCTTGTGTTATAGATTCTTGATTTTGGAGAACAAGTTTATGCACACAGCTTATCTAGTAACTTCCTGCTGAAAACAAATCACATTATTTGCAGCAAGTCATAGGTCAAAAGCACAATGTGGTATCAAAGTGTTGTATAAAGGGGATAAATAATTTTATTTCTGTGATTGCACTTAGTATACTAATGCCTCTGTGACAAATAAGAAGTCAAAGAAAAGCAATCTATCCCTATAAGTCTGTACAGACAATATACAGCCACATCACCATGACCATCACACAGACTCATTGAAAAATCAAGCAAAGCTCTTCCAAAATGATTTAGGGTGCCAGTCTGAGATGTGTTTAAATTATAGGTTTGAGTCTGAATACTGAGTGCTGTTTATCTGCTGCCTTCCACCTAGACATTTGTGAGTGGCTGCTAAGAAACACACGTGAGATAATACCAAACAGCAATGAAACTTTTTAAGGGCTTTGCACATTTCCTAGAAAATGTTAGGGAGCTGCAGATTCAAGCAAGGTGAAAAATATTTCTCTCAAAGCATGCGGAATTCTTAGAATATTAAACACTTTTTAGAATGTTTCAAAGTGAAACGTGTAAATATTATAATTAAAACACCCACAAAACAGTTGCTCCTCCAAAACAGAAAAGCTACACTATTTCAGATAAATAATACCAAGTATATCCAAAAGTGTCTGTACTTAAATCCTGTTTTTTGCACTCTGCCAGTAACTGGGCAGCACCTGCCAAGCAGAGGGCAGCTCCAGTGCCATGCAGCTCTCGGGTCTCCCACCCGGCTTTCCCCGTTGTTGCAGGCATTAGTGACACCCAACACCTGTTACACTTACAGAGCTCCAGCAGATGAGATGGTTGGTTTCAGGGTCTTCCACCAGCGTCCAGAGTTTTGTTAGGAAGGCTGGGACATTGCTGGAGTATCCATCCATCACCAGAGAGCTGGGTGAATCCTGCATAGCTTTGCAGTGTCCCAGCTAAACTGACCCCATTGCCCTGGGCGCGCCTGCTCCCCTGCACGCGCCTGCGTCCCACAGAGAATGAGCCACCCAATTTTATCCCAGGCCAGTGGAAAGTAGGCAGCCAGGGAGTCACATCAGCAGTGCTGCTCACACTCTTAAAAACTCAGCACAATGGGATGGCATCACCAGCCCCAGAGAACAATACACAGAATGAAAATGCACTGCAGCCGATCCCGCAGAGCTGTGAATAAATGCGCAGCGTCATGCAAAGGGAACACGTGCTGCCCACCTTATGCTGGGAGGTGGGCAAGGCACCAGAGCAAACCCACCTGCCCAGAGGCTGGGGGACACCCAGGCACAGAAATCACAGGTTTCTGAAGGCACCCGAGTTGTTAGATTGGAATTTTCTTGTGCTAAACTTTGGCTGGCATAGACGAATGAGAGCTGGGCAGACTCAGGGCTGTACATCTTCAGCAAGACTTTGAAAAGTCAAAATTGTAAGCAGGTTTAGCTGCTATGTTATGTGTCAACATAAATTATTTAGCTCTTGCATGAGAAAAGAGTATGTTAAAAACAACTACATAGAGAATCTATTAGACAAGATGGTATTATCATTAATATAAAAGCTTTAAATAGCTCTAAATACAGGTGTGCCTTAATGCCAGGGTAATTTCAACTCAGAAACTGCTCTTTAAATAAAAAAAAAAAAATATAAAATCAACATTAAATTTTCCTGAGGTCCTTAGCAAAAACTTGCAAAACTCGACATTCCTGCTAAAAAATGCAACAGACTTCTCACCTAATGACTACAGAGTCCTTTAAGGCCAAACACTGAAAGAGTCAGGAGGGGAGAAGAGACAAGATAAGTAAGTGCCATGATAAGGATAACAATGCATTAATTTTTTCTTGCCATTTTCAAAGAGCAACTTAGAACAGTGTACTAAGAATGTGGTATTTCCCCTAAAACCCAAATCACCATTAGGCACTGACAAAACCCAGCAAGAAAGACAAATTTTATATAAGCAGGTGCTGGTCATGCCAGGTAACATCATCACACATAGAAGGCACAAGGTCAGCAGTGCCACAGCAGAGTGGAGCAGATGTTTGACACACACTGGAAACAAGGATCAGGTTATTCCTGCTTGGACAGAGGACCCCACTCCTCTCACCTGACCCCTGTGAAGTGCCACACAGAGCTGGAAGAACAGCTGCAGCCCCTTGTCTGCATGCCTGGAAGACTCTGTCCATCTCAAAGATAATACACTATTCAAACAAGGACTTCTTCTGGGATGTAATGCCACGGTTCTGGTACTGGAGCAGAGATTTTGCCAATTCAGTCAGGTTTAAACATGGAAAGACTTCCAAAACTGAAATTAATTCTCGAGTCCCTGTTGAGAAAAATAAAACAAGAGCATCAAAAAGGTGTCAGAGATACACATTAGGATTTAACTAACAAATGACTGGATAACAGAGGAAGTAAAAAAAAAAAAATCAAACTTGAAATTTCACCATATTTTGAATTTAAACTTTAAAAATTATGAAAATCTCTTGATCAGTTGTTTCATAGTTTTTTTCAATTAATCCTAAGAAGCTGAGTGATATCATGAGTTAAAAATGTCAGACCAAAGCTTTTTTGGGAAAAAATGGTCTTTTTTCCTACAGTGAGGTTTTGCTACTCTGAGTAATAAAAATACAAGGGAATTTTCTGGTATTGCTGCACTGGTATTCAAAAAGCTGAGACAGATTTCTCAAACTGTGGGGGAAAAACCTCTTTGCAAGCAGAAGCTCTGCACAGAAAACAGCCTCACATATCCATTTTTTTAGTGATAGTGCAACAGAAGGCCTAGAGTAGAAACCAGCAGCTTAATGACAGTGGTCCTTGCCTGTGATGTTGCAGTTTGGAAAAAAACCTTTTTTGACTTTGACTCCAGTTTGCAGAAACTGCACTTACAATGTCTGACACAATAAGGGATAAGTATATTTTAATCAACCTTTCCTGTGAGGTACAATGCAGAAAAGTAAGTGTCTGGGAAGAAGGTTTAAAGCATCAGATCATTACCTAACTTTTCCATTTGCCTTCTTCCAAAATGTGTTGCACCTCTCTTCCAGATTTCTGCACAAACTAAACTACCACCATGACATGTTTTTTCAGCCCTCTCATAACCAAGCAGGAGATTTTTAAAAGCAAACATTCCCCTTCCCAGGCCAGCACTGGAGTGTGGGCCAAGTCTCACAGTCTCACTCTGAATTTCATGGCATGTCCTCTCTGGGGCTGTGGAAGCCCCAGGTCCCAGAGCCACAGCACTCCCTGAGCAGTGCATGTTTCATTTAAATGAAAACCTGTGCACCAAGAGAGCCTCAAAGAAGGGTTGGAGGTGAAACCCATGAAGAAAGAAGGGAGCAGCAACGCAAAAAGCATAACGCAGAGGGGAACGGGACGGCACGTTTTTCTAGAATGTGCTGCTTTGAAGCGTGACTCCTTACTTGGCAGTGTGAGGTGGCAGCAGCACAGCAGCTCTGCTATCTTATCTGCCATCATATCAGTGACACCCCCTTCCCACCCAGCCCGGCTACAGCAGCCAAGTGACACCGTCCTGCTTCCTTCCTGGGAACTCAGCATCTTTTGCTGACAATCACCTTGACAGCTCGGACATTGCTTTTCTGCTTTTAGCTGCTTTTAATACTGTCTCTAACACACATCTGCCAAAGTGCTAAGGCAAAATGAGATCTCATGTGTTCAGCTCCTTTTGTTTTATGATTTCCTTAAAGCCTTTGGAGCCATTAAGAAGGGTTGTGAATCTCACTGACAGCAAGAGCGTGCTTTTAGCCTTCTGACTGCTGCCAGCTCAGGGCAGCCTGTCCTATCCCAGCCCCAGCCCCCAGGCAGACTTGCCACTGAACCCTGACACCCCAATTCTGTGCCAGCTGAGCCTCACTGAGCCACAGCCTCTCCCCTCACTGCCATCTTTACTTCCCAAGTGGGAAACAACAAGATGAAACTCCAAGTGCGCATCAAGCACTTGATTTCGCCCCATGGGATGGTCCCAGAAGACACAAACTCAGCAAGGGTCAGCAGAGGAGAAACTTGGGGCTCAGCTACCCATTATTTTTTTACTCCCACAATATACAGCAAGCAGATTGGCTTCAAGGAGAAAACATTTCCAGGACATGGGTGGGTGATGCTCCCCACAGCATTCATGCTGTAGTTCCCACCTGGTTCTGGGAGCCAGTACTGCTTCACGTTTGGCTTTTGTAGTGAAATGTTGGGATGTCCAGGTTCATTTAGCCCCATCAGAGAGACTTTAAATGTATGAACTCACTTGCTTAAACTGTTAGCAAGTAAATGCTTTGTTTCCAGAAGCACTGGCACCATCAGACCTGCTGACCCTGAAGGGGGCTGTGGGCACTGCCTGCCCCTAGATCTGACCCTGTGACCCAGAGCACCCAGGAGTTCCAGCCAGCCCAGATTAACAGATCTATTAACAGATCTTTACAGATCTATTTGAAGCACATCCTTCCCTTAGCAAACCAATTAAGTTTATATTGTTTACATACTGCTGCTGTAAAATAGCATCAGACATATAGGTATTTTTAGTGTTTTAATTGTTTCCTGCGTTTTTTTGCAGTTCAATCCCCCAGTTTGCACAAACCACTGCCAAGCCAGAGTGACTGCAGCTTGCACGTGAGCCCAAAATCTGGCCCCAGGCCCATGCCAGCTTTTCACCAGCTGGGGACAAACAAGGGAGCAGCTGTCACCCTTCAGCTCACAGGGCACCTGTGCAGGGCAGATGCAGCCTGGGCAGGAGGCTGCTACCTGAGGTTGAACAATGGAGACCTAAATCATGCTTTAATTGGCACAGAACCTCTCGTGGACTTGGGAAATGCTGCTTCATTCTCTCTACCTATCCAAACTCCCACTAACAGCACTACAGGGAAGAGCTGACAAGTGCCAGCCGGGACCCACCAGCCTCGAGTGTGTCAGCCACAAGCCACGCAGGGGCTTCGAGCCACTCGCCTCCATCCCTAATGGTCCGGAGAGACACATCCATCCCAGCCCTTGGGCAGCTCTGGAGCCATCTGAACGGAGCGTTTCTGACAGAGCCTCGCCTACACGAGACACCAAGCCAGCGAGCTGGGTGTGCGGCCTTGCGGCGGGGACACCTGGAGCGTCAAGGTGTCGGCAAGCCCCGACAAGCCCCGGCCTGGGCTACCCCGCAGCAGCGCGGCCCGGGGCCGGCTCGGGCGGGCCTGGACAAACTGAAGGCGTTAAAGGGAAGTGCCGCCGGCCATTCCAGGGGGCTGTTGGGATTACTTTCGCCTTCCCGTTTCCCCGCCTGCAGCGGGTGCCGAGCGGCGCCGCGCCGGGGCGGAAGTGTCGGGGCCGAGGCCGGCGCTGAGGAGGTAACGCCGCCCGGGGCCGCTGCGGGCAGGGGGCCGGGGGCGCGGGGCCGGGGCCGGGCGGTCCCAGCGGGACAGCTGGAGGGGCCGGGCTGGAGGGGCCGCGCTCCGGGCCCCGCGGTGCCGGGCTGCGGGCACCCCCGGGCACCGAGCGGACACCCGGGCAGCGGCCGCCGGCCCCGAGGGCGGCACAGCGAGGCGGGACGGGGCCGGCGGCTGCTCCAGCGCTTTTCCCTTAGGGACAGCCCCCTCCCAGCGAGGCTGTGACGGGAATTGAGCGGCAGCGGCCTGCCGCCTGCAGAAGGCAGCGAAAAGGCAGTAACCGTGATGGCAAACGCGGCTTACGGTGCGGGGCTGGTTTTTGGAAGCGCCGCAGCGGCTTGGCCGCGGAGCGGGGACTGGGATGGGGCAGGGCTCACTGGACGGGAGGATCCACCCGCTGGGTTAACACTGCGGAGGCACAAGGACAAAGGGCATAAACAAAGCAGAGGGGTACCCCTGGGTCACAAAACCACCGAATGGTTTGGGTTGGAAGGGACCTTTCCAAGGCCATCTAGTTCAGCTCCTCTGTGGTGACCGGGGACATCTGGAACTAGGTCAGGTCTCTTAGAGCCCAGTCCAAGCTGGCCTTGAATATTTTCAGAGATGGGGCAGCCACCGCCTCTCTGTGCCAGTGCCTTGCCACCCTCACTGTAAAAAATGTCTTCCTGATATCTAATCTAAATCTACCCTCTTTTAGTTGAAAACGATTACCCTTGTCCTGCCTGTGTAGAGTGTCCTGTTACAAGAGCTCTGAGCCCTAAGAAGAACCAGGGGACCAGGACCTTAAGGAGAACATCTCTGGTTGCATGGGGCTTCAGTCCATGGGAGCATGCCAGAGCCAGGACCGCTGGGTGGTCCCTGGAGCACTTCAGTCATTTCACATTGTGCCAGCTGGGCTAGTCAGAGGCACAGGGACTGAAACTCTGCTTCAGAGTACCTTTGATCTATAAAATGAATGAACTCCAGTGGAAAATGAAAGCAAAGCTTTTGAGTTTCTGTCTTTGGGATATGGTGTCCCACTGTGGTTGCTTTCCAGAGTAACAGTAAATCCCTCAAAGGTTACGCTTGCTTCAGCAACATCAGCACTGCTCTGAGAAGTGAAGAGTACTGTTGTGCTTGTGCTGTAGCACTCTCCTGGCATCAGGCCACTTCCCTTATGGTCTCTGAGCTTGCCTGTGTGATTCTGTAGGGTGCTGAAGATGGCAGGCAGCTCCCCTCCCTGGACTGGCAGTGCTTACCTCTTCCTTCAGTCGACCTGCAAGACCATCGCTCTGCCGTCCCTCTACGAGAGCTCCCAGAAGAAGCCCTGTGTGTTCAAGGCCCTGAAGCTGGCATTAGCAGGTACCCATCCCCTGGTATCTTGGTGTGCAGTGCCATGCCTTTCTTTAATATCACCCTCACAGGCAAGGAAAGCTCATGATCATTCTGTTTCGGAAAGGCAATAAAGTGGAGCAAGCTCAGCAGGGGTTCACCGAGATGGTTGGGGCTGGAGTACTTTTCCTGTGAGGAGAGGCTGAGGGAGTTGGACCTGTTGAGCCTGGGGAAGAGAAGGTTTCAGGGGACCTACCAACAGCCTGCTGGTAGCTGTGGGAGGGAGTGATGGAGCCACACTGTTCATAGTGGTGCATGGGGAATGAAAGGCAAGAGACACACACTGAAATGAGAGGTGGACACCAGATACAAGGACAAATGTTTTCCCCATTAAGACAATCAGGCCCAGAGTGACTGTGTACTCTCCATCCTCAAGGGCTTTCAAATGGGACTGGATAAAGCCCTGAGCGACTGGTTCTGACCTCAGAGCTGACCCTGCTTTGCATTGGAAGTTGGGCTAGTCACTGCCTGGGCTTCCTTCCAATTTGAACCATCCTATGAATTATCCAACTTTATGAATGTTTGTTTAAACCCATTTATGTAAGAGGAGAAAAGATTGTAATTGCTGTGAAAAAAGATTTAATTGCTGTCTTTATACCACCACAGAAACATGATTCCTGCTTTCAGAAGCTGGTTTTTAAATCAAGTGATAGCCAGTATAAATTAATTTGTATTCAAATTCTGATATAACTCAAATTCAAATTCTGATATAAAGACACATTTACATTAGCTTGAGGTGTATGTAATCCTATTTACATCAAAAAATTATTTGAGATGCAAATAGCTATAAAACTATAGTTCTGTATCCACCCTTGCACCAAGCACACTGCAGAGTAATAATAATAGTAATTTGAAGAGTTTATCACACTTAGCTAGAAAGACTCTCATGGTGTTCTTTACCTGTCACACAGCTGAGACTCTGTTGTTCAATTGGGCTTGTCTAACTCTTCTGCAGTTTCTTCTGGAAATCATGCCAAGTCAGTTTATCCAATACAGGCCTGCTCATTTTGCAGCTCATTCAAATACAGGAAACAGGAAGCAGGCAGCCTAACACAATTGTCCAGTTAGGCTTGATTTATGGCTGCTTTGTGGCACTGGAATGTGAATCTACTCACACATTCAAAGGACAGCTCACAAAACTGAAATCCTACCATGCTTATTCAGACATGAAAAGGACATGAAATCTTAAGCTTTGCAGAAATGCCTGCAAAGTCCCATCTTTTGAGGCAGCTTTACAGCTGTCTTGTACACTCTTCATAAAGGTTTCCATGTCTGGGCAGCTTTCCCTCCACAGCCCTCCTGCCCTATTATGAAAATTTTGTTTAATAAGCACTCATAAAAAGCAAAGCATGAAGGAAGTGATAAAAAATCATCCACAGTGAATTAAAATGTCTTTTCTAGGTGCCTAAACCCATGTGTCAGCTACACATGTGATTCAAACTAGACTAGATGCAAACAGGACTTAGTAAAAATGTAAAGTCACTGTTGGATACTATACTTAATTTTAAATGCAAGGTCACTTGCCCTGCTTAAGGTGGAACACACAAGTCTGCCTTGCCTTAAGATTGTGCTCCATGCCATGACATGGTTTAGAAATACCTGCTGTAGTGCCAGTGTGAGCTGGTGCCTCCACACAGCCCTCAGTGACAGCCCACGAGGTTCAGCCAGGTCTGGAAGCAGGACAGCAGCTTCACATAGGCCTCTGCTGCAAAAAAAGAGAAAAACACATACTTAGAACTCAGCAGCAGCATATAAAACCCTGTGAAGATAAGGATAATGAGCACAGCTAATAAAAATTAAATTCTGCTGGGAGAAGGAAGAATTAAGTCCTGGCATTTTCTGTTTCCACATCGCTCGTGCTCCTCTTGCACTAATGTTAGAGGGTACATCCCTGGCTTCTCCTTCTTTAGGTTTTACCATGAATTAATTTTCTGTGCAAAATAACAAGTCAAGGCCCAATCTCAAGCAGCTTAATCCCTGTGGCTGGATCTGTCATTTGCTGTTTGTGAGATGTGTTAACGGCTCAGAGAGACAAAAGTTACCTCTAGGCACAGGTGGAGAGGAAACACTGGGCTTCTTTCCAGTACCTCCATCACTGCATAAAACTCCAGCCATAAGGACTGAAGGCTGACTGAGCACTGAGGTGAACTGAGCCTTCATCTATAAAACTTTGCTGTGCTACCAGTTTATCATAACCATCTCTGCTCTGGAAATGGAACCTCAAATTTAAACTTGCCCTAATAAGCAGTGTTGATATAATTACCTGGGATGTAGTTCCATACATCTGCAGTTGGACACCATACTTCATGGAGGTCAGTGGCGGCAGGGCAGCATGAGCTTAATCCTTCCCTCTTGGTTTAACACTCTTCTCTACCCCAGAGGACTTTATCACAAAGAGAATTCAAAAGCTCCTCCATTGCAGGCTTGTTGTGGGTGAGTGTGGGTCTGGGTGGGCTGGCTCATGCCTGGATTGTGACTGTGCTTCCTTCTCCCTGCCAGACTCCACTGGCAGCGTGAATGGTGTGGACATGCTCAAAGTGCACTGCAGCCACCCCCACCTGATCGTGCAGCTCCGGTTCTGCAGGCGGGAGAACTGCCGCCGGTTCCTGCGCAGCTACCGCGAAGGAGCGCTCCAGAAGTCCCTCCAGAGTCACCTCCAGCTCTCCCTGGCCACAACCATGGTGCCTCTGGAAGTGGAGCTGAAGGCTGGCAGTGAGCACCTTGACAAGATGCTGAAGGATGAGGATCGTTGCCTGGAGTGCATCTACAGAGAAAAGGTGAGTGGGAGAGGGAGGGAGCTGGACAGCAATGAGGAGGGGTGGGCTTGCAGACGTGGGTGCAAATCTTGTTCTGATGCAGCATGTTGAGTTAACAAACTTCTCAGTCCTTCAGCTCTTAACTCTAATGTGGAGAAATAGCTCTGCCCTTCCTCAGGAAAGAGCTGTGCACATTTCTGGAAGGGCAATAGAGTTACCTAAAGCAGCCTGCAAAGATCCTGCTAACCCTCTGTGCCTTCTGTGTATAACAGCTGGTGTGGCTGTTAACCCCACTAGGAGTTCTAAACAGTGCAGCTCACACACAAGTGTGCCTCAGTACAGCTGTGAGGCAGGCAGAGAGGAGCAGCCCTGGCTGGAGCCATCACTGCTCTGCACCTCCCTCCCCTGTCTCGCACAACACCTCCTCCCAGAGTGTCAAAGGTAACTGCAGCTGGAAATGAGCAGTGGAAGCGAGTGCATACACTGCACATCACACCGAAAACTTGTGTCAGAGTGGGGACACACAGCATCTGCTGCCAGCAGGAGTAGGCTGCCCTTCTGAAGGCAAAGTCTCTCTCATCTGACATCTGGCTCATTGCACACTTTGGCACTGGCACTCTAATCGTGCTTGCAAGAACAGTGAGATCTTGTCATCTCACTACAAGGCACTTGACATGATTAAACTCACTAACTTGTTCCTCTCCTCTCTTTTTTTCCATCTGGAACTTTAGCTCTGGTTCCTCTAAATGGTCCTGAGAAACAGGCACTCACTATTCAATCAGGAATATTAGGCACAGGAGCATGTTTTTCCAGGTTGCTTTTCTGTAAGCACAGAGAATAAACTCAAACCTTTCATCTCCAAACCAAACAACATGTGATATCCCATACCCTGTGAACTGTGGCTTGCTGCTCCCTCCCTGTGCTGAACTAGCTGATTGGACAAAAGAAATGGACTTATTCTCAGTTCCCCAAAAGTGACTCAGTCTGACCCTGTCTGCAACAGGCAGAAAGATGGCACAGCCTTCAGCAGCTGAGAGCAGGGCTGGGTACCTGCTAAGTGAGCTAAACAGTGTTTACCTCTGATTGAGGCACAGCACTGCCAGGTTTGACTCTTCCCATGTGCTTTGCCTTCTTTACTCCTTTTCTCAGTACCTGCTTTTTGGAGGTCAGACTAATTTTCTCTTGGCTAATGAAAAAAACTGGCTGAGGACCCAGGAACAGCAAACCTTAGGGAGCAGAGGGGCAAAGGGAGAGAGAAGGTGGGTAACAGGAGCTGCCTCCTTGGGTGGCCATGAGCTGTTGGATCAGATCACCCTGTTCTGTGGGTCTCACCCTCACAGGGAGTTAGGAGAAGCCTTGCTGCCTGCAGTGCACTCTAATTCTTGCAGAGGGCTGCTGGAAATGAACATGTGCTAGTAGCAGTTTTGTGCAACTTGTAAGCACTCGCTGGTGCAGGTGAAAAACCCGGGGGGAGAGACTGACTATTTCATATCACATTACAGATTCAAAGCCACCTACAGCCATCCTATTACAGCCAGGACTCCACTAGACCACCTCATTTGGCTGGCTGACAGCTCATGCTATATCTCATTGCTTCTCTCTTGACATCAGCAACCACAGCTTTGGAGGCTGGTGGCCCTGGCAGTCACTGATGCTGTTTGTGTTACAGCCTGACCGCCTGCCGGATGAGGAGATCACGGAGCTGGAGGAATGCCTCAAGAGCCTGATGCTCCACCAGAGCACCAACAACAATGTGGCTGGAAAAGACTGCTCATCTCTCAAGTCCCCATCTCAGCCTTGTTCTCCTCAAGGCAGCTTCCTTCCCACACAGTTCACCTTCATCTTTCAGGGACAACAGTTTGGTGAGTAGGTAGAGCTGATCAACAGAGCCCTTGATCTGCCTCACAGCCCAGGAGGGAGAATTATGACTACATATGGGGGTCTGCCTCAGATAAACCAAAGATTTCCCAGCATCCCATAAGAAAGGAATTAAAATAGTCCTAAGATATTGTCGTGATGCTTCAGATCAGGCATCAACCTGTTTTCTTTTCCAGGGTGGCACAGAACCAGATGTTTCAGAGTCTGTGTCCCTCCCAGGTTCCTCACATTTTAAAATTAATCGTGAAAGGAAGAATAGAAAGTATTTTTCTCTTCTTCCATGTCACTTGGTTGAGGTGAGCTAATAATGTAGATTGGATCAGACTGGGGAAGGTACCATGGGTACCCTCAGCCCTGCTTTCAGACAGGACTGATTTGTCCAGGCTGCCTCAGTTCACCAGCTGGCTTTGGGGTCTGTCCCTACAGAGAGCTTTCAGAGAGTCTCAGCTTGCTTAAGCTGTGTATAGTCTCCAGTGCTAAACAGCTGAGAAGAGAGCTCCTGTCAGCATTTCAGTGTTTTGAGCATGTTTAGGTAGGGAACAGGGGACTTTGTCAAAAAGACCTTACCCAGTTGCCTTTGAAAGGCTAAAACAAAAGGATGTCCATAAAAAAAAAAAAAAACAAAAAAACAAAAAAACAAAACCAAAAAACAAAAGTGCTCTGGCAAATCACAGGATAGTTCTGAGGGAGAAAAAAGAAAATAGGCCTTGCCAAGCTTGCAGGGTAGGGACAAGCCCAGATGCTTTGTTGTTGTGGGAGGATTTCTGTAAGGGAACAGCTGGGAGGGAGCTCGGACTCTGCTCCACAGAATACTGACCAAACCTTGAACTGCCCAAGCTGCATCACATCAGCCATGAAACTTCTGTGTCTTATCTGGTCTCTGCCCCTTTCAGACAACAGAACAATCACACCAGACGACCACCAGAAGTTTGCCAAGTCCGTGTCCAAGAAGTGGAAGCAAGTGGGTCGCTCTCTGCAGAAGTCCTGCCGGGCCCTGCGTGACCCTGTCATTGACAACCTGGCGCTGGAGTACGACCGAGAGGGACTCTATGAACAGGCCTACCAGATGCTCCTCAGGTTCATCCAGTCCGAGGGCAAGAAGGCCACCATAGCACGGCTGATCGCAGCCCTGGAGGAAAACGGGCTCGTCAGCTTGGCTGAGGAGCTCCTGGGCCTCCATTCCAGTGAGGACTGCTCCTAGAGCCCAGGGGACAGTGCCATTGCTAAGGGCTTTCCTGCTTTAGCTACTGTATGAAACTGCTGCCAGTGTCTGGGAATGTAAAGTCCTGAATATCACCAGAGGTTTCCATCGAGGTGGAAATGCTCAGGGGAGAGGTGCTGTTTTTGCATGGACCTCTGACTTGCCTTATTTCATTGTGTTTCCAGAAATATAGCACTACCTTCCTGTGAACTGGTGAGAGGCTTTCACCCTGACTTCCTTCAGGACTGTGACAGGGAAGCAGCCAGACAGAGAGCCCTAGGGGAGAATGAGGGAGAGGAGAAAAGCAAGCAAGGCTTCTCATAGGATTTCTCTGGGAAGCAGAAAATGCTACTGCTTCTCAGGCTGTGTCCAGGGCCATCACCTGGAGAGCTGCAATATATTTTTACATTTAAAACATTTTTGTCCTCAGCCATGACATCAAGTAAAGAAAAAGGAGAAAGTAAGGAAGTGTCAATTTTACGTTATTTTTCTTCTTTGTTTGAAGAACATTCACGGCAAGAGTATCTGTTCTGCCCTGCTCTGTTATAGCTCCTTCCCACCTCTCACCACCTGAAGGCTTTTCTTCTACCTGGGACAGCCACAGTCTTCCACAGGGCAAAAGATTGCTGCTGTACAACAAATGGCAGACACTGGACAAACAATATGGACAAACTCAAATTCAGACAATGATTGCCAACATTTTCTCATCTGTGGCAGACAGTAATGTGTTGATTAGCTCTTGCCTGTCAGCCTGAGGGAGCCTGCAGCTATGGAAGGCAAAACACAGTGCTGGAAGGAAAAGTGTCCTCATCAGCAAGTTACCTGTGGAGCCTGGTTTGGAACTGCTGCTCTCAGGGCATTGCAGCATCAAAAGCCATCCTCAGACCACAGAGCTGAGCAATCACCACACCCAGCTGGCTGCTCCTGCCTTCCCTCACTTCCTGACCACCCTCAGCCTGCTGGGCCCCTGGAGGGGACAGCTCACCCTGCTGTGTCCCACAGGTGTCAGGACCTACAGAGAGCCTTTCCCTGGCACTGCTGTCACTGTGTGACAATCAAACATCAGCTGCCACTGTGCCTGGATTTACCTGCACTGATTTTTAGGGTAAAAATGGTTTAAGAGACAAATCTCCCAAACCCCAGGGCTGACTCCTGCTTTCAGTTCCTGTGGGAGAAGCTGAGTGTCTCCTGGTATGGCTGATGCAGACTGCAACACAGCAGCTGCATTTTTTTGTGACAAAGCACAGACCAATGAGTGTCTGGCATGACACAGGTCCTGTGAAGCACAACAGCAGCTCAATTACCTTTGACATATTCCCAGTGCTTTCCTGATAGGTTTTTACTAATACTTTTCCATCAATTCCATCCTTTTTCCCTTCCCATCTGTGGGAATAGCCAGTGGGCCATAGGAATGTTTTCAGCTGCAGAGGAGGACTCTGGCCACACACACAAAGTCTGTGTGCACATGAGAATATTGGGATGCTAGCAGTCATGGTAGGAGCAACTTTGAGGCCTTTTAAACCACAACTCACATCTTACTCCTTCCCTGGAGTCAAAGCTGTAAATCAGTAAGGAGGAACATAACATCAGATTCAGGTGTGGGCTCAGATCCAAGCTTCTGGAGCTGGAGATGTTCCCATACCTTCTGCTGGAACACCTGAGCATCAGTCACTGGAGACCTGGGTGGGCAGGACTTAGATGGCCTGCCTTGAGCCAGCTGGGGTCCACAAGCTTCAGATGGGCTGAGTTCACATCCTTAGTGTAAGCCAGGGAAACATGACTTGTTTTCTGCAGATTTTGAACCCCTGAGGTTACATACAGAACCAGGAAAGGAAGGGGGTTATAAACGGGGAGGTTTTCAGGGTGTGAGTGAATCTGCTTCCATCTTGCCCCTACCTTCCAAGGAAGCAGGACTTCATCTCTGCAGACTGTGGCTCCATCACCTTTTATTAAGCCATTTTATATCAGTGCCATCCCCTCCATGCCTGCTCACACATCCTACCCTCTCCCTTCCAGTAATACCAGTGCTCTTCCCAAAATGAAGCAATTACCTCTCTGACAGTTTTGCTTTTGGGACTGACACAGTGGTGCTGATCTTAGCTAATTTAGGCTGCTGTGGATCCATACCTCAAAAGTATTTAGCTTTTCTGCCAAATCCCAGCTGGGGAATTCTGTTTGGCAGAAACCCACCTGACAAATCATATTATAAAAAATTTAAAAAATCAGAAACTTGAAAATTACTTTAAGAGCAAGAGAGTTTGCTCTTGATTTTGCAGAAATTACATTTTTAAGAAAAGAAGGTCATATGCATAGCCTGCTGTCTCATTTGCAATTAATTTTTCTCAGACCAGCTCTATGTGCACAACTTGCACATATAGTTACAAGGCAGCCACTGAGTAGTGAGAATTACTAGTTTTTGTAGCATCTGTTAATGCTCAAAATGACAAAGTCTTATTATTCAGCATCTACTTCAAGTCCAGAAAACTTTTTTACTGCTGTTACTGTTTTACAGAGGACTAACCATGAATGCTTTCTTCTGAATGTAAATGTTTTCTTTCTGCCAGTAACTGGTATGTGTATTTCCTCTTACTCACATATTCCCTGTTAGAATTCCCTGTCAGAAGTGCCATTAAGTGCTGGAGCCCCTGGCAACCTTTCTGGAATGTCTTAAGCTCCAGCAACATTCACAGGTGCCTTCATTGCACAGACTTGAAGGAAAAGAGTTTTTCAGTGATATTCCATGGTGAAATTGTCTTGAGCACATGGCATGGTTTGGGCCATAGCAGTGGCTGTTTCATACCTCCTTTTCCATGAGCAATCATCATCATGGTGGGAGATAAGCCATGGACAGTACTGCTGCTGGAGAAATTTGCCTTATCCCAGTGACTGCTCTTCTCCATATACTGAGACACATCTGTGAAAAAGAAAAATTCAGGGGTGATGCTGGTGTTTCAGAATCAAACACAATACTAAAAGCAAATAAAGGTGCTAATCAGTTGTATATAAAATCTAAAACAGAAAAAAAAAACCATAGAACAAGCAGCAGAAATCAGGCCAAAATGTGCTTACAGGAAGAGATCCAAGAGGGCTTTATTTTCTGGTACAGATTGTTTTTGTAATTTTAACCATGTTTCAGATTTGAAGGAGTCTCCATTCAGTCTGCCAGAAGGGATAAAAGATCCATCGAAAGGAGAATTTGAATTATTTGTTTTGGCATAGCTGACCTGCAGTGTTCAAACAGATAATGACAAAGAGGAGAGTGAGGTTAAAATGCTCACCAGATATACTTTGACAAGAGCCATCTGATAGAAGCAAACCTGACAGGATACCCTGACACAAGATTGTCTGAAAGGAAAAGATCTGTTTATTTTGCCTTTCATTCAAAGGCAGCTTCAGCATTGAGGACCTGTCCTGCTGTCTGGGTCACTGTCTCCCCTCTTTTGTTCCCAAGGAACCACACCCTGGCAGCTGCCCACAGACTCTGAAACCAGGAGTGAGCATGGGCAGAATGAGGAGCCTCAAATTCACTTAAATTGCTGATTTAGTTAAACTAAAAATTCTGGTGAACCTCTGGTACTGTATCTGATATCCTTAAACCAAGGAGGTACAAGAAGAGGGATCAAGAGGGTTTCTGAGTCTGACCCACACAGTGTGTGCATGACACTGGTGCTTTACTCTGGACAGGGGTCTGGCCGTGTGGCTTTTGTATGGAGATGGACTCAAACAGTGAAGCAATTTAAGGCCTAGAGTCAAAAAAATATGTATTTTTTTCTTCTCTGGCTTGAATTTTAAACCCCCTGAAGGGAGCTGGCTGTACATCTCTAATAGAATCCTGGTTGAGATGTTTGGTTAATGTCTCTTAGTTTTCAGTGGAAAAATCCCTTGTTGACCATCTGGTTCCAAATTCCCATGATATTCAGTATCAGATCTGGATCAGCCATCTACAGCTGTGGACTGCAATGCCAGGCATACTTGGGTCTAGGACATTCAGCCTCCAAGGAATTGTATTTTACAGAAAAAGCTCTTTGGTATATATTTTTCCCCATTCTTTTTTATAAATAAATATATACTTTTGATGAAAACTGCCTCAGAGACTTTCACTGAACACATAACTGCAGTAGTAAGAGCAGGGATCACTGAAGTTCCGGCCACATTTGGTGCTCACCAGCTGCAGAGGAGCATCCAGCCTGAGGGTGGATGCCCAGCAGGGCTCTGCCCAAAGTCACACGTTTCTCCTGACTTGCTAAGGCTGGTGTCCCACCTGTGGGAACAGCTCTGATTACAAAACGAAGCCAAGCCTCTGTGTTTGTTCAGTTTCCAGTCACTGCTCTGATGAGCCTTTTTCAGCCAGCATGGCCAGAACAGGAGGTTTGTCCCAGCCCTGGCAGCTGGAGGAGCTCACTGTGTTTCTTTCAGTGCTGTTGGGATATCTGGGACTCCTCTGAGGCCACAGCACCTCTGTAATCTCAAGTGCCTCACTCCCAGGGAGCTCCCTCACAAGGCTGCCCCACAGGTGGGGAGCCAAGGAGCTGGGATATAAAATCTCCAGCAGCTTTGCACAGGAAGCCACTTCCTGACCTGACAGCTGAATCCAGGGAAACTCCTTTGGCCGTGAACTGGAGCAGAGATGTATTTTACCCCGAGTCTCTTAAGTCTCAAACAGTGTTTGAAAATCACAAGATCAGCCCTTCTTTGTCTACCACAAAGCTGAATTCCCAGCTGCATGGCTTGATGCCTGCAGGAGCACAGTGAGGGGAGCAGGGCCCTGCCCTACAGCAGCTGGAAGGACACACCACCCTGGGGTCACCAGGGCTGGCCTGCTGAGGAGGGTCAGTGAGATCACTGCCCCAGTCCTCTGTGACAGTGACCGAGCACAGGATGGACAAGGACGCCTTTGCTGGCAGCGAGAAGAATAAACCAGCCACGGGTCAGTGCCCAGGGAACAAGGTCCACGTGAGACAGCCACCAAGGAGAAGCACCCATGGAGAAACTCCTCCACCTGCAGGCTCCCTGCGTGAGTCCCCAAGGCACACAGCCACAAGGCACTGCACATCAATGGAAGCCTCTGTTTTCACTCTCACCCCAGGGAGGCAGCGTGGCAGGTCCCAAAACCTGGGTGAGGGATCACAGTGGAAATAAGTGCTGTGAGTCCCTGTGGCTCAGCGAGCAGTCCCCCTCCCTGCCCAGCCAGCCCTGCTGAGCAAAGGCAGACAGGAGCTGCTCTTTGCCTCTGTGACCATCAGCTCCTCCTTGCAGAGCAGGGATGGTCAGTGACCTGGGGCTGCTGCTGCACAAGGAAGGAACAGAGGTACCCTGGGCTGGCACAGGGAGAGCTGAAGCTGAGTAATGTTTATGGCTGTGGTTTCTGATCAGCTGGGCTGGTCAGCAGGACCCACTGTGGCTCAGGCAGCTGCCAGCCACGAGGAAAGGATCTTCCCAGCCTGCGGCACCTGAGTGCAGGGTCCGAGGGTGGCCCACCAAGAACACACTCTTCATGAGACAGTGTGTTCAGTAAAGCACAACATTCGAGCTGAAATAAAAAATGCATCAAATAAAGCACATATGCTTACTAAAAGGGATTTTTATATTATGTTTTAGAAACAGGTCTTTGTGAAAACAGCAGAGTAGATCAAAACCTGCTTTTATGACAAGTAAATGAAAAACTTTCCTTCCTAAAGTGACCATGGTCTGGGCACTCTCCATACACTTGGCCTCTGTTAGAGGAATAAGGGTCATTGTTTACAAAGCAGAGACAAAGAAACAGCCACAGGGATGGGAAGTGCTATGGCTGCACTCAGCTGGCAGATCAGTAGTGGTGGCACACAGATTAGATTTTGCTCCAAATAAAAACTGCTTTGAAGTATTTAAAAAAAAAATAATAAAAAAAAAATTAAAAAAGGCAAACACCTCCCCCCCAAAAAAACTAGGTTTGGGGGTATTTTTTTTCCAGGTTTTCAAAAGGACCCTTGAATCTGTCTTCAGCCTCTGTACTACTCGGCTCACACATCCTCCCAACATTTCCCTACTAGGAAAAAGAGAAACAACCCCCAAGTGGATTTAACTTCTCAGCCGAACCCAGCCTCTGTTCTTCAATTTGACTCTTTGTAGAGGTAAACACTCACAAGAGAATAAAAAAAAAAAAAAAAAGTATAGAAGGAAAAGAAAAAGATACTCAGAACAATTAGTATATTTCCTTTCGAAAAAAGTTACCGGGGGCCGGGCGGGAATGAAAAATGCAGCCTTTTTGCAGAACTGGTGCGAGTCCCCAACCTGGCGGAGCGTTCTCTCTCTCGACACCTCCGCCCTGTCCCGCCGGAGCCAGCGGCGCTCCCCGGCCCCATCACGTGCCGGGGCTTGGAGGGGCCGCGGCTCTTCCCTGCCCTCCGCTCGCTGCCGGCGGGGAGCGGCCCCGAGCCGCCGGCGCTGCTCCGCGCCCGCAGGGTTTGCTGGGCTGCGCTGGAAGGCTGAGCAATGTCTCTCGCTAACTGCAGCCAGATGTGCCTGCTTGGCAGCGCGCTGCACACACAGCACCGAGGGAACGCCGGATCGGCGCTGTCACATGGGGTGTAAGTATCGATTAGGTGTGTTTGGTCTCGGTGGGCTGGGGAGGGTTGTGCAGGAGCAGGGCGCACTGCAGTCTGTCCTTACTGCTGTTCTTTTTGCCCCGCTGCTGTTGAATGTTGTTCCGTGCGGCAGCCCGGACCGCGATGGTTAACACGCAGCAGGGCCGGCTGCCGGCGCTGAGCACGCAGGCTCCTGAGACATCTGCTTTACACTTTACTTTCCAAAGAACTTTCTTTGAATGTGTAGGTTGTTTTTACAGAATTGTGCGGCTTCTTTAGACAATGCCTGCAGTGCTCTGAGACAGGATTTCCTCGCAGCCACAAACGTGTTCCAGTGGTGGCACGTCACATTTACGAGCCATTCTTCATCAGTACAAGGACATGAATGTCCCCCATGTTACACTGTGGTATGCTTTGAGCAAAACATGGGAATTTTCAAGCTCTCTAGTGTCACAAAGATAGAAAATAATTTAGCCCCTGTGAATCATCAGGCAGTTACTGATATTTTTTAATAGTTTTTGGGCAGATTCTGAGAAACTTATGTGTTGGATATAATATTGAAATTAGTGGGGCACATCAGCATGTACTCCCTGCCCCATCTCCCACGGATGTAACAATACATCCATGCTACTGCACTGCAGTTGCTTGGGTTTGGGGTGCATTAGCAAATTACTTATCAGAAGAGGGTCTGGGAGCTGAAGAGGTGGTGAGCACTGCAGCCTGGGGGGAGCTGGGAAAGGAAGGTGTTTGTTTCAGTTTCTTACCCCTTCACAAACCTGCAAGGCTTTATTCCCCTCCTGTGCCCAGGAAATTTAATGTTTGGAAAAGAGACAGCAGGCTCCTCACCTTGGCTACCCAGGACAGACCTGTCTCCCCAGAGCACTCAGGGTGTGAGTTGAGCTGCTGAGCCCTCTGCCATTCTGAAAATCAGGCTACCAAAGCAAGACTGCATCTGAAGGTAGGGCAGTACCTCTGGAGGCTGCTGAGCCTGCAGAAGATTGTTGGGCTTTACCTTCTCCTACCTTGCAGGCGGCTCAGCCCTCCTCAGAGCTGTGGGGCCGTGCTCAGAGGAGCTGGAGTTTCCCAGGTTGCTGGGGCCCAGCCCGGTGCCTGGCACAGCTCAGTGCTGCAGGGGCACTGCCCCCTGCCCTGAGAGAGACTGAGAGCAGCACCACTGCCTAAAATGAGCTGCAGCCCCCAAACTGTGCCACGTGTGCCTGAGTGCTCACCTGGGCCAGCAGGGAGCATTCACCTTCCCTGGAGCTCAGCCCTGCATGCAGCTGCTCCTGCCCAGGGTCAGCAGGGCTCCCATGGGACCCCAGTCCCCAGCGAGGAGGGGTCAGTTCCTCTCTGGGACCCTGAACCTGGAGACAGACACCTCAGCAGCCCTCACACAGCAGCTCTGCAGTTCCCCTGTGTTTGAGTTTGTACACTTCATACAAGTTTCTGACTGGGGTGGAAGGTGAGAGGAGTTGACTGCAGCAGCCATTTGCAAGCAGTCATCCAACGTGACTGGCATTGCAAAGGGAAGGCTGGCAGTGCCAACAGGAGAAACTGCAATAAAATGGGACCAGCCAGCTGGGAAGCTGATCAAACTACATATTTGGGGACTGAGGCAGGCAGATAAATAAGGCACCCTGTCCTGTAACAGCATGGATCTCATCCATTTGTTTGCTCTGGCCTGGAAAAAAATTTAAAAATGCCCTGAAAAGCAGCTCTGACAGGAAAGTTGGAAATTATCTTTGGAGCAGGGCCTGCATTTTTGTTACCTGCTTCCTCAGTATTTGACTCAACAGAGCTTTTGCCTCCAGGTGCTACAGCAAATAACAGCAGCAGTGCTGTGACTGTGGCACTGGCCAGCAGTGTCTGAGCTGTGCCATCGTGGGCAGCTGAGCACTGAGCCCCTGCTCCTCTCCCTGTGCTCCCTTGGTTCAGGTTCATAAACCCAGTTCCTGGGACAGCTCTCAAGACACACAGCTAATTAAATTCTACAGCCTGCTCTCAGTTTGTTTATAGACTTCAGAACTTGTAAGCAGATGAATAGGATGAGCTTTTATCTGGTAAGGCAGCACAGCAAGTGTTTTGGTCACTTCATTTTTCTAGGGCTTTGCACTTACCAACGTGCCAAAAGGGGTCTTTGTATTTCAGCCACCACCTCTGTCTTCTAATCAAGAAGATCAAATATAATTCAGCATCACTTTATGATCCTGTAACTCCAAATGGGACCACTTCACAAACACCCTGAAATGCAGAGAGGAGTTGTTCAACACCAGGGCCACTTAAAGCAATAACTTCGATGAGGTTATTGACTTTTCCTTGAGTGGGGTGGTAGAAAAACAAAGAAAGACAGAAACAAACCCCAAACCTATGGGGGAATAAAAGCCATTACATGACACCCAAACATAGAAGTGGAACACAGCTTCTTCCCCTGCTCCAACACACAGAGCTACTTTTCCCCCTTAAACACTTCAAACCCAGCTTAAATGATTAAACTCAAGTTGTTTCATGCGAGTTTTTGTATGTGGGGCAGAACAAACCCCATTTACGTGACCACACATGTGTCAGCTGACACAGTTCCCTGTGGGTGCCCCAAAGAGCCCAGAGGAGGTTTTGCCAGCACAGGATTGAGAATTTGGAGTTTTGACCTTTGCACTTCACTTCAGGTTCCTGTAGAAGGGTGGGAGAAGGATGGAGCCCAGTGCAGCTTGAAGAGAGCAAAACATGTGATTCCTCACCCAAAACAACACTTTCCATGTCAGTGTGTTCAGCAAGACATTTAAATTAAAGTGGAGTCAAACACTCTCCCAGCCCTCAGGGCTGCAGGGGATGGGACCAAGGGTGTCAGTGGGAAGATGCAGCCTCAGGGCTTCAGGCAGTGCAGACTTCTTGGTGTCAGCATCCTGCTCTGGTGGGAGAAAGCTCACCTGCACACATCTGTTCCACACAGCCCCAGCTGCAGCATGGGCACAGGGCATGTCATTATCGCTTCTTGAACAGTGTCAGGACTCTTCCTGAGGCAGAGAAACCAGGTCAGGAGGATCCTGGGAGTTTGCTTTGCTCCTGCTGAGAGAATCCGGATGGAAAAATTCCTGTAAACCAGGCAGGAGAGGGACACGTACAGACTTTTCCCCTTGCAGGCCAGAGCCCAGGCAGGTCTCAGTATTCAGCACTGGCTGCTACAAGATGACTTTGTTTTTGTGGAATGCATTCAGCAAACATGAAATGAAAACAAATATCCCACACCTGAAGCATTGCCTCAAAGTATCCCCACCGCCCAGAATTATACAATCTTCTCTGATGATTGCAAAAAACCCTGATCAAACCCATCAGTGCTGGATCCCCCACGCTTTCTTTAGCTCGTTTTATGGACAGACAGATGGACACATCTATCAGCAGCCACAGCCCCACACGTTTCATGGCCACACACTGTCCCTGTGCTGCCCAACCCAAACCTACCAGAGGCAGCTCCAGCGGCAGGAGTGAGGAGAGGAGTCAGGAGGGAGCTGGAAGCACTTCCCTTGCAGCAGGGAGAAGCTGATCCGAGGACACCCCACAGCTGTGCTTGGTGGGGATGGATGTTTCTGTGAGCCAGGCTGGGATGAGTGGGCAGCCGAGCTCATTGCTGATTTTGTGCCCCCCTGCTCAGTGCATCATGTTCTCGCTTGATTATCACAGCTGAGATTTTCCCAGGGCTGGCTGGATCAAATAACCACTCCTCAAGGCACAAAGCAGCATGCCAGAATCACCAAGGCTTCTTGACTGAATCTGGGGACAGGACCAGAGGACTTTTTCCCACTTTGGCCCTGAGCAGAAGTGCCAAGTGGTGGAGATGTGATGACTGCAGCAAAAAAAAATTGCCAGGATGGGCTCAAGGTTTCATATCATTCAATTGGGAATGAAGGGCTAGCAATTTTTTTTTTATCATCACTTGACTGCTTTTATTGCAGCTGTTCTTGGCCATATTTCAGAATCCTCCTCTGAAACAAATGAAAACCAGGCAGAGGATCGGGCCCTCTGCCTGAGCGTGCAGCAGCACAGGTCAGGCTCCCTGCCTGGATGCTCATCAGGGTGCCATGGCCAGCTCTGGCCACTTCCAGCTTTCCAGCCTTTTGTTGTCTCTTGGGCTCTGCAGGCTGTGTCCCCTTGGTTCTTCCAACTCATTCTCTATTTATGGCTGCCCATCTTGCCACCTCGTGGATGTGGGACCTGTCAGCCTCTTCCTACTGCCCAGCTCAGCCCTGGAGCACTGCTGGTGCTCAGCCCAGGATGGAACATCCCCAGGAGAGCAGCCCCATTGTCCCATTCAGAGCCCATCAAGCCAGACTCAACCCCCCTCTGTATCCATCCCCAGACAGCCAACACAAAGAGGGACAGCTGCCTGTTTTTCCAAGCTTGGAGGACACAAGAGGCAGTGCTGGCAGCCAGGCCATTCCTCAAGGCCCTGAGTGATGCAGCAGTTTGTAACCCAGCTCCATTTCAGGTAGGATGGAGGATCCCCACAGCAGCAGAGGAAGCAGAGGTGCCTCTGCCTCAGACACTCAGGGGTGTGCTGTGCTGAGAAACACTCTGCTGTGCTCTCATCTCTTCCCTTTGGCATCAAATATTTCCTGCTCACTTTGATGGCCCTGTAATTATTTTCCCCTGGTGTCAAGGTGGATGAATAATCCTTTTGGCTTTAGGACATACCAGAGCATCTGCCAGAATCATCAGTCCCTCTGTATTCGAGAGCAGAACAGCTTTTCCCACACTGACATCCACGGATAGAGCTTACACCACTGTAATAATCAAGGGTATTTTCCTTCCAAAGAGGGAAATACCTAACAAAGACTGGAAAATCCATATAATTAGATCAAGGAATGACTTCAAGGGCTGGCAACTTCATTTGAAAATGAGAGGTCTGTATTCAGCACTGAACTGTTTTATTTCAGCATGGAAATCACTCTTTCGGATCCTTTACTTTCAATAAAAGAAAACACAGAGGAAAATCTGGGCTATCTGCCCAGGCTTGTAACAATTCAGGGTTTTTCTTGGCTTTTCCAAGGGCACTTACTGCCAGATTGTGAGATGCTGGCAATAAAAAGCTGCAAGCCATGGAAATTACAAGTTTCATGACACACACATTTTATTCCAAACCCTTGTCGATAACATTAAACACAGGAAAAATCCAGGACTTTCATCCAGCTCCTTAATTGCCATCTGAAGCCTGGCAGCTGAAATAAGATCAAACTTTTGCATAGAAAAAGAAATTTGCTGTTACTGTGAACAAAGAGATGGGACTTCAGATGTAAAATGCAAACCAACATCCTATACATGTCAGGAGGGACTGCTCCATGAGGCTGAACATGGTTATGAGCCAAGCCACGTGGCAGAAAGAACAGAAACAGAAAACAGATCCTGAATATTCTAAACATTTGAACAACAATTTACAAGAGATCTGAGAAAATTGTTCAATCCTGCTATTAGTAACAAAGTTATGCCAGTGAAAACATCTGCCTAGCAGAGGAGTGAAAGGTAAACAAAAAAAAAGTTAACAAATGAAGAAAAGCCTCTATCAGAGGGCAGAAAAAGGCAAGAAACAAAGCTTAAGTAAAAAACCCATGGTCATTAGGACAAGGCCAGTATGATTTTAAATCCACCAGGAATGCAAAGAGCCTTACACCAAGGCATGGATATGCTGTTTTCCAAAATAACAATTTCATAAATAATGGAGACAAAGTGAATGAGGTCAGTAAACATTTTGGAGCTGTACTTGGGAAAAAGATATGCAATAGCATATGATGATGATGAAATACTCTCTATTTCAACAGTATCTTGGAGGTTAAGTTAACCAGTAAGGAAAGAGCACAGTATTAAATAATGATGTCCAAACAATATGCATCTAAGAATTTTAAAGGGCCTGGACAAGAAATCAACTGGTATAATGATTTTCTTCCTCTTAAGTCTTGAAATATTGCTTAGATACCACAGGTGCCACTGTTTTATTAATAATAACAGACCCGTCAATCTAATTTTGAGTTTGAAAACTTAACATTATGGCTGACACAAAATTGATGGTTAATGAACAATTAGCAAGTGATCCAGGCCAGGACAGTAAAAGGAGATTTGCTGAAAACAGATACCACCAAATTCTTACCAAGCATTTGCACCTTGTCCTGTCACTGTATGCCCTTGTCAAACGTGCCTCTCCAGCTTTTTTTATCCCAGACGTCATTTTTGGATATGATCTCAGCTAATTCAGGACAGAGAACTGTAATACCTTCACAGGTAACTTCTCTTAGTACATCACAGGCAAGAGAGAGCCACAAGTCACACATGAACATGATACATTATTAGTGGAGGTATAAAAGACTTACGTGCACTTGTTGGGGGAATTTTTGGGTGGGGCTCAACTTCCTTCTTGCTGAGGACAGGAGGTATGGTGATGGGGATGGGTCATGGGAATGGTGATGGTGACTCACCTCCTCCTGGAGCAGCTGTGGGGTCCCTCTGCTGTTGCTGCTGCAGGGAGTGGCTGCAGCCACAGGGTGATGAGAGGACCTGCTGCTTGCTGCCTTCTTACTTCTCTTTCATTCTCCCTTTGTTTGCAGTTGAAGAACTAATCAAATAAGACAGAAGATCTCCAGGAAAAGTGTAAGTGAGGAAAAATCCTGTATTTCAAAAGGCAGCTTCATCTATCAAACATGAACAAAATTTTCCTAACACCATGCTCTGCCTTGCTTTTGCATATTAGATTTATTTCCCCAGCTCTCACTTAGGGGTTAGGGTGATTTGGCAGAGGAAAAACACCCATGGCCCCTTCCAACCTTTTTAATGGAAGTTACTTACAATGGTTTAATATTTTATAAAGAATACTGGCAGGAGAAAGGTCCTGTGTGAATTCCAGATTGTACCCAATGTATTAATTTTGAGTACAAATCACAGTTTAACAAAAGTTGGCTTCATGTGCAGGGAAACACCAGCAACACACTGCCATGGAGAGTCTGCCCTTCAGCAGTCAGCTCTGGGCCTCCCTGGTTTGAGTCAAAAAGGATAAAAGCAGCAAGTAATGGTTGCCAAGCTAGGAAAAAAAAAAAAAAGGAATTATTTATGGGAGAATGGCATCATTCATCATTTTCCACTTTGCTTTTCCCAATGAAATCTCTGAAACGACAAAACACATTCAGCAGTAAGGGGTGCAGGATTTTGGGCTGTGCTTAGAGGGTGGTTTTCAGGATGATGGATGACTGCTTAACCAAGTCACAGAGCTGGCTGGCACTGGGATCAGCAGTTTGCAACCCTGTGTGCCCTTTGACAAGTTCCTCAATGTCTCTGTGCTTGTGTGAGTAAAATGTGCTTTGCTGCTGGGTTTTTAAATGATGTTTAGTCTTGACTGCCTGCTTCAGACCTGCCAAAGCCTCACTGCTGACACGCTCTGTGTTTATTTACAGATGGACAGTGGTGCCAGGCAGCTCAAACACAGCTTTTAGCAGTCCCAGGAACTCCAGAGAGACAATGAGAGTTCGCCTCAAAGGGGATGTGATCTGTACCCTCTTCCTGCTGGTGGCACTTTGTTCTTTGCTCTACTCCCAGCTGGAGCATTTAGTCCCGGCAGGAAAGAAGGAGCCAGCACAGAGCAAGCCTCGAGTGGCACCAAAAACATTCTCTGATCCCAGAGCACCTCGGAGGCTGATGCCAGCAGAGGCAACTGCACCCAGACCTCAAGTTACCCCTGTCATGAGACAAACAGAAGTGGCCAAAAACAGGGTCCAAACTACAGCTGCACCCCCACTCACTGATTCTGCCTTCAACTTCAAGCTCTATCTCCTAAACAAGGATAACAGGAACTTCAACCTCCTCATTAACCAGCCCAGGAAATGCCGAAAGACACCGGGCGGTCCCTTTCTGCTCATTGCTATCAAATCAGTCGTTGAAGATTTTGACAGGCGTGAGATTGTCCGGAAAACTTGGGGCAGGGAGGGTTTGGTGAATGGGGAGCAGATCCAGCGAGTGTTCCTCCTGGGAACACCAAGGAATAGGACAGTGCTGGCAACATGGGAGACCCTGATGCACCAGGAGAGTCAGACATACCGGGACATTTTGCTCTGGGACTTCATGGACACTTTCTTCAACCTGACCCTGAAGGAGATCCACTTCCTGAGCTGGGCTGCTGAATTCTGCCACAACGTGAAATTTATTTTCAAAGGCGACGCCGATGTCTTTGTCAATGTCGAGAACATTGTTGATTTCCTCAAGAGGCACGATCCCACTGAAGACCTCTTTGTTGGGGACATCATCTACAACGCCCGTCCCATCCGCGTGCGGAAGAGCAAATACTACATCCCAGAGACCATGTACGGGCTGAGCATCTACCCCGCCTACGCTGGGGGAGGAGGGTTCCTGCTGTCCAGCTGCACCATGAGGAAGCTCTCTAGGGCTTGCAAAGAAGTGGAGCTCTTCCCCATTGATGATGTCTTTTTGGGCATGTGCTTACAGAGAATCAACCTCAAGCCCATTTTACACGAAGGGTTCAAGACCTTTGGCATTGTTAAGCCTTCTGCTGCCCCGCACCTGGAGACGTTTGATCCCTGTTTTTACAAAGATCTCATGGTGGTTCATAGCCTGAAAGTTGCTGAGATCTGGCTGATGTGGAACCTGCTCCACAGCCCACGGCTTTCCTGTACTCAGAAGAAGCAGGTGAAGAAGCCTTTCCAGTGGAAGAAGAAAGCTCAGACAACAACACCAGCATCACCCCTCAGATAATGCAGGCAGAGTGCAGCAAACACAGCAAACCAGCCAAGAAAGGGAGCCTGGAACTGACACTGCCCAACAAACCAACCTTCTGAGTATTTTAGCACATCTTATTTACAACATTAAGAAAAGACAACAAACAATTGCAGGAATTTGCCCAAATTCCACATTTGCACATACATATCATGTGGGTCCTTCTGTACTAATGAGTCCAAATAATCATAACATATATATAATTTATTATTATTTATTAGGATTATAGTAGTGCTTAGTGGGACAGTGTGTAAAAGCACATTGAAAAATGCAGTCCTTGGACATTTTTCAGCATGGTTACAAGTGTGAGAAATGAAAGAAGACACAGGGTAAGAACAGACACCAGGGAGCACAGGGATCATTGTCAATTTGCTACTTGACTTGGACTCATTGAAAAATGACCAAACAGGAACTAGAGTCCCCTTAGTGTCTGCTCAGATCACATCACTGCTGCCTGGTTGGTCTTCCACAGGCCTTGTAAGAAGAGAACAATAAACAGCTCTTGAAATGGGGTCCTACAGCTGCAGTTTAGGTGGATTACAAGAAATCAAACTGGATGTTGAAGCTGGTGTGGCTGGTGGAGCAAAGGACAGGTAAGTAGGTAGCTAGAAAGGAGCAGACTTACAAAGGGCCTTTAGAGAAAGGACAATAACTTCAAGTTGCTTTTGGCACTTCCCTGAGCTCAGGCTCTCTGCACTACGCTGACTGACGTTCAAGGACAATTCACAAGTCATCAGCAGTATCTGATTGCTCTCATGATCTGACCCAGATTTTCAGAAGGTTTGCATCTGGAGAGATCCTCTGGCCTGTGCTTATAAGCACACCCCCACACAGAGCTGCTGCTTGCATCACGTTTGGGAGCTGCTTCAAACCAAAGAGTGGACTGGGCTGGTTTCTACAGACCTTGGTCTCTTGCTCAGCACAGCCAGCTGCAGAGGGCCGCCAGGGCTTTCATACTGCTGCGGGTGTCTTGTGAAGGGAGAAAGTTTTCAGACAAAAGGACTTCAGAATAAAAGTCCATCTAAATTTATTGCAAGAAATCAAAACCACACAGCAATCTTTCTGTTGGGCTTTCCAAGGTTCAGTCAGGAACTTTGTGAGTATTTTAAGCATCAGACAAGAACACTGAATTGCTCAGATTTTCAAAGTATAGTCCAGACTTTGATGCATTTTGTTTTTCCCAACAGCAGACTACCTTAGAAGAATATACTTTTATCAGACATCAAAGCAGAAGTGAATTCCTCTAAATCAGGGTTACAAAGCTGTGAAATTCATGGGACAAAGAGCCTTAATTCACCTCTGATACCGTGTTTGTTAATTCTTTTACAAGTTTTTACCCCCTCAACAAAACTCCTGTCCATCAGAGAACCCCTGAGGATGGCACATCCACACAGCTTCAAAGGGAACTACAATCAGTCACAAAAGCCCAAAGTTCCTTTCCCTTGCACAGAGCCTGCAGCACAGCTGCCTTTCATATCCGTGTGCAAGCTCCCTCCCTCCTCCCTGCAGCAGTCTGGGCTCAGTGCTGGTACTGACAATGCACAGACAGAGCAGCAGGCTGGGAAACAGCCAATGGACAACAGCTTTACACACTGCTAATCTTCATCATGAGTTCAAGCCTTACAACAATGTGTTTCCAAGAAAATGTCAGCTTTATAGAAATGGAAAGATTTCTACATTTGAGGTATTTTCAGGATGCAATCCCGAAATACAAAATGTTCACATGAGCTTCACAAGGAGCTTTGCAGGGTGTGGAACTAAGCCAAAGCCTCACTGGTAGGACAAAATCAGCCCTGCCCCTGTCTGCTATCATGTGTGATACTTGTGTATTTATGAGATTCTACAGAAATGCATTACCTGGGAGTAGTTTACAGTTGGGGAAGTTATTTATACCATCATTAAAAGACAGCATGCGGATGTGCCTCTAGTTGTCAGAGTGAGTTTGTCAAGTACACCTGCACACATGTTGTAAGACTAAAACCACAGGCATTTTTCATTAAGACAGTAACATGAAAAATACATTATTCATTATTTTGGATAACTTGGTAAGTATTTCCTTATGCTGCACTTATTTTAATGGCAATGACAGAAAAATAAACAGAGTTTACCTTGCAATTTCCTATGAGGCAGCTAGTCAGGTTCAGCAGTCCTTATTAAGGTTTTGTTTTACACTTGAAGATGCTGAGATTGGGTCCTCCCTCTATAATGTCTTGAGATCTGCAATCTATCCACAACACAGCATTAATGAGTGCATTTTGTCCCAGATCAAAGTTGTTGTTCAACATCTGTGTTGACACAGTCTGTGCCAGCACATACCCTGATGGCAGAAACAGAACTAAACTGTTTGCTCCATTATCTTGGTCTATAGCATAGCTCATTGCTCTTATCCAGTGAATACCAGAGTCTCTCTTGATGAAAGATCCATCTGGTTTTGTTCTCCAGCCTCTGCTGCATGGCCTGTTTGACCTGGCTTTAAGTTTCCATTTGCCTCTGCAGTTGAGCTGGAAGTTCACAGATGCCACGTGTGAGCGCAATGCTCTGGGGAGATGCTGAGGGCTGTGCTGCGACCCCTGCAGTTCTTTGAGTTCTCCTTGCTGCTATAGTAGGCAAAGGCTTTGACTTCACCCAAGCTGAATATTGTTTCCTTAAGGATGAGGGTCTTTTCAGAGAACCCTAAAGCCCCATGTGTTTATGACAACTGGCAGGAAGGACCCTCTACCAGCCTTTCTGATGCATCACAGAAACCCAAACCCCTCCATTTCAGAATGACATTCTGAATAGGTTGTATGAACTGGCCAATTGAGTGCACCAGTCATACTTGCTATAAATCTTGGCTTGGCAATTTTTTTCATGACTAACCCAGGACAAGAAAAGAAAACATAAAAACATCCTAAGTGGGTGCTACCAGTAGCAAACAAGGCAAGCAGACTTTCTCAGTATAAACTTCTGAAACTAATACATACAGTAAGTTTTATGGAGTCCCAAGGATCCACACACAGTCAAGTCTTGTTCCTGCTGTACATGAGTAGCCAGATTTGGTCACTATAATGAGCAGAGCTGGCTTGAGCCTCACATTCAGCACCTCCAAGTGCATCTCTGGACACACAAACTGGTGGGAATGCCAAGATCCGTCATTCAGTCAAGCCACTGCAGACAGACATCACAAAAAAGGTAGCCAAAGAGGACTCTGAAGCAATTCAGTATTAAAATCTTCTGCTTCCTGTCTGCAGCTGAATTATTCATCTTTCTACAGCAGGTTCTCAGAAGCAAACCTCAGCTGCAAACTCCAAGAGTACAAAATAATCAAACAGCTCAGAGAACCTTCACTACATATCAGCACTGAGAACATTCCCTGGGGAGTGCTGAAAGACCCTCAGATCAGAGAGAAAAAGAAGCCTATCCCAAAGCCCAGCATGAAAATCTGCTGATCTCCTGGGCTGTACCTCTTGCAGCTGGACTTGCAATTCTCAGCAGCCCAGAAAATCAGCCCACCCCATTTCCCTAATGATGCTACTAACTGCAGTGACAGCTTTCAAAACCAGTAAAACTTTTAAATACAATTTTTCATTACTTTCTCGGCCTATGATCAGTAAGAAAACCATACTGAGGAATGAGAGTGGAAAGTAAAGAGGAAATAAACCCAAAGGAGGGGCACAACTGAGTCCCTCCAGGAGTGGCAAACAGCTCCCCCATCATTCCTGGCCAGCCCAGTGCTCTCTCCAAACCATTCAGACTCAACTCATGGATAGTCTCTCTCCCCATCCCTTTCCCAGCCCATCTGTTGACAATCCATGGGCTAAAACCTTGGAAAAAACCTAACACAGGTTTGCAGTGCCAGCCTTGTCCCAGGGGAGTGCCTGAGTTGGGTGGGAATCAAGGTGTGACAATATGACAAATGGTGTCTACAGCCAGAGAAGCAGAAAAGGGTGGAATAATCTCTGTGACCTCCCTACTTGTGGGAGGTTTCAGACAGAGCTTACCCAGCAAGGAAAAGGGTAAATTCAGGATTTCAGGGCTGCAGTTTTTCCGAGATGAGCAAAGGGGAAAAGGGAATACAGCAAATCAGGCTGGCTTGATTATTTAGTTGATTAGACTGCACATTGCATAATCATGGAGGGTTTTTTGTGATTGGTATTTAACTAAATGTCTCTCTGAAAGATAATAAAAGAATGAAACTAATGCACTCAGTGGAATATATATATATATATAGTGTAGGTGTAAAGCATTAAGGCACTTAAAACCAGCTTCCAAAATTGCAATATGCAGTACTTTAAAATAACTAAAGGAATAAAATTTAAAGGGGAATTCATTAATGTATGAAAAAGGTTACATTAAACCATTATAGCCAGTCCAGAACAAAAGTTACTGTAATAATGGTATCTTACACCACAGTGAATGCCCACCTCTGCAAACTCCAGCTCACCTTTCCTGCTGCTTCAAGCACTCGTTTTTTTTAGATCATAAGGAGAAATTATTTCACCTGCTGGAAACACAGACATGCCCACAAACACCACAAGATCTTGGGATGTAAATTTTGGCAGATAAACATTTTAACAGTGACTTTATTAGTTACAGCAAAAATTCACATAGGCAAAGAATATGGTATTTAAGTTGCACCAGAGCCCTCCAAGTAACACATACACTCCCCCCAAAAAATCCTTCATGGGCTCTGCTTCACTGAGCCTATTTTTAAAGCTAGAGTTAGATCTTCAGTAAGATCCTACTTTCATTTTCCCCTTGTTTTACTCCAACCTTACCTTCTCTCTGAAACAACCTGGTTCACATTTACATGAAAAGAACCACCAGAACTAACCAGTATTTTAGCTCCACGCACAGTGAGGTATTTATTTGGCTACATGTGCTGTGTCAGATTGTGGCTGACAGAGAGGAGGGGGCTTTGCACTGGTGTAATCAAGGTTTAAAAAAAAAGGTGTTTATCAGGCAAAAGATGACACAGAACAACTGTAGAACCATGGAATAATTGTTTCTTGCATTGTAACATCAACAATTATTCTGAACACAACCAGCCCATGTGAAACTGTGCCAAATCAGACAACTTGGTCTTTGCCCAAATACTCTGCGGAAAGCAAGCAGAGAGGGCTTAGACATAACATTTCTTTCAAAGCAAGAGCCACACTGACTCACACACGCCGATTTAACTCCAATGTACATTTTGAGCCACCAAACAGAAAAACCTAACAGAAGTTCTGACTTAGAGAAGTGACTAACAGGTTCTAATACCAAGTAAAGAGTCAGTGTGAAGGAGGCAGCAGCACCCTTGATTTCCTTCTGGAAAAGAGCAACTGGCCCCTAACCTCCAGCCAGCCCCAAAGCAATGATCAATCACCACCTTCTTGTAGTGCTGAAAGATTTTGTTTTAAACAGGTTGGATGGGAGCTCTGGAATGTGAACGATCATGATCACATGAATCAGTTCTCACACACCATATGATTAGTCTTTCAGAAAAAAAAAATCTGTTTAGAATTAAAAATGTGGCAGTTCCTGGCAACAGAAGATTGATTTTTCTTGTCAGGAACTGCATTTTGGGGAACAGAGGGTTCTAGTATTACACAGCAGCACTTATCTATACAGCACTGCCTGGAGCCATCGCAGGAGCCCAGGGACTGCTTGAAGGCCTGAAGAATAGGTGAAGAGATGTCAGCTTCACCTCCTTAAAGAAGGGCACAACAGTCAGTTTTATTGAGTATAAACAAATGAAATACTGTGGACGGTACTGCAATATAATATAAAGTTACTGCAATATTCAAGTTAAGCAGACACACACAAACTCGTCACCTCTTTCAAATGGAAAACAGCACACATCAGAAGGGGAGAAATACACTACATGTTTTATTAAAAATGCAATTGTACTTAACTTTATATCAAACAGTTTTATCACATGAATCCAAAATGGTGGACCAATGCACATGTTGCCAACATGCAGGATGTGTATCAAACCACACAGGATTATCACAAGGAACAAGGCCATCTGGCAAAGTGGGATCTGAAGCAGCCCAAATTTCTCAGTTCCTTCGGGAGGGGGAGGCAGAGCTGGCCCCTTGCTTGCCCCTGAGCAGCCTTTGCCTAGAAGAGCTCTTGGTTCAGATGAACTGCCTCATCCAACCTCCCTTCCTGCCACACTGCCATCCTTGCCTTGTCCCCCAGAGCTCCTCTACTCCTCCTCTTTCTGATTCAAACCCACCATCAGTCCCCTCTACCCATTCCTCACCTTCTCATGCCAGCAAGTCCTTAAATGCTCCACAATGCTTCTCTAATGCATCAGCTCAGGAACAGCTTGGCTTAGCTTAGTCCAAAAAGGAACAAACAAATCAAAACATCTCAGACAAGAGAGTTGTGAACAGCTGCATTCACAAAGGGTGGGTGAGGAAATCCATAAAAGCAGCTCCACATTCTCTCTGCTGGTGCTTCTTCAGACCTGCCTCTCCCAAAAGTCAAATGCTTTGAGCTCAGCCCAGCAGCAACAGCCAAGATGCAAAATCGCCTTTAATCTGTGCAGAGAATTCTTCACTATCAGGAGGCTGACCTAGAGAAGTATATGGGTTTTTAAGAGAGAACTGTTAATTACCAATACTATTTTAGTCACTAGGTCTCACCAGAGCATTACAAGTAAAGCTGGAAGCCACTGTAGTTATTAAATACCATAGGTTAGCTGCTGCTCCTGTGCTAAGTGTCAGGGTTCATGCTACAGCAGCAGGCCTGACCTCACTCTTCTGAAGAACTTCAACTCAACATGCTTGAGAGCAGGATACTGGTGGCATCTGCATAGCCATTACTCAAATCATCCCATCAAGGATTTATCTCCTCTTGCAGCTTATCCGGAGCCTTTATTAGAAAAGGATGGATTAAAATTAGTTGAAGTTAGCATCAGGATTGCTGTCACATTTTAGTAACAAGAATCAGCACACACAGCATCTCAGGTGAGAGACCACAGAACTCTGTGAGAGCCCTGTGAGCCAAGCAGCAGGCAGGGTCAGCCTGCACTGCAGCACTGAGGGAGGCTGCAGGAGGCTGAGGGCTCTGCCTGCCCACACTGCCAGTGCAGGAGTCCCCTTCCTTGTGCCCTGCATTAACCTTGGAGCTGCTTCAGGGCAGGGAGACTCCCAAAGCTTTTCTGTCAAGTCCCTTGGGGCACAAGAAGGCAGCAGGAGAATTCACATTTGCAGCTTTCACTGCAGGCATTTCCTCCCTTCTGCTGTGCAATATTCCCCCTCTTTGAAGCTCAATTGATTTCCATCATCCCCAAGGGCCCACAGGAGCATAACAATCTCATTTCTGAACACAATGCACAGCCCACGGTGCTATCGACCACAGTTTAAGACTTCTCCGCTTCAGGGCAAAACCTTACAAAATGCTTTAATGTATCTTTCAAGTTATGCTCGTTACTGTTTCTTTGGAGAACTTACTGAACTGGCTATAAAGTCACTAAACTCTAGTCAGGTACTTCTAATACAATGGTTGAAAACCAGTTAAAAAAAAAAGAATTGGTAAGAAAACAAAAAGCAAGAACATCCATGATTTTATTACAAAAACACCCAGCAACTGTATTTAACACAAAAACAGTAACTGAGAGTCTCTTTTTATTTTTCTTTCAGTGTACATGCTCATTATTATTCCATTTAATTTACAGAAGGGCTATGTAAAATGAAATTAAAATTAGAGAGGAAACAAAAAGGAAGATTGAGGCATAGAATTTTCTTAGCAAGCAACGATCACAGGAGACAGCACAGATTGAACAGGGATTCAACAGGAGTGACACCTAGGGATAAAGGTAAACAGTAACTTTTTCCTTATCCATTAGATTCTCCATGGGGCTTTTTTGTTTGTTTTAGCAAAACAGTTTAGAGTATCACAGTATAGAGGAAGACTAAATGGCAAAGAACGTCTCACACACACACACACATTTATCCCTGCTACTGGTCCAGGATCCCAAACTTCAGTTAACATTCGATTTCCTATCTCTCATTCATTGATAAACTATACAGGATTACACTGTACATGGAGTTAAAATTACAAAAATGTCATATTTACAAAAATCTGTACACACATAGTAAAACTCACAAAATTGTCATCTATGTATCACAAGTTGCGACACCAAAATATTAAAAATGGGATAAAATTATACATTTCTCTTGTCCATTTTTAAAAAGGGTTCATTATTTCAAAGACAGACCACCTATTTCTCCCAAATAAGACTGGTAAGAGAACTAGAAACCTAAAGTATCCTCCTGGGATAAAATGTCGCGAGCAGCATCTCCCAACTAGAAAGAAGCCTATATCCTGTCTGCTGGGGTGGGGTGTGCAGTTAGCATGTATGTACAGAAATGGTGAAACTACAACCAGCATGTCTTTGGCTAAACCTTTGGCATAAATTAAAATCATACATCAAAAGTTACAGAAAAGGTTATCTTGGTGATGGCGGAATTCCAGAATTTCTTTCTGATACACCATTATATACAGCTTTTCTTTCTCTGAAGAAATAGAGTAGGAATATAGGATTTTGGAACAGAGGCAAATGAGGCAACATTATTTCTTCGTTAAATTTTTCACTAGTATGAAAAATTGTATCAAATCTTTTCATTAAAACATAATTCAATCATAGAAATAACCCCTTCCAGATTTTTTTTTTCTTTTGAAATTGCATATGAAAAAAATTAGTAAACCAGCCATGACAGAAAAAATTGTATCAGCATATCAAGTACATATTAGTGCAGGAAGGTGGATAAATCTGATCCACTGTATAAATAAGCTTTATGCGCAGTGTACATTAAATAACCACCACACCCCACTCACACCCAGTACACAGATGCTCCTCAGTGAAGATAAACGTTTATCAAGTAATTAAAGTGTATGTAGTGCAAATGTTACAACCAAGTATTATGCACATGCTACTTGCTTGGTTTAAAGTTACACGAAGATGTGGTGCCTGAAATCATGGACATATATACATCCTTGTCACACTTGGTACAATGTCCTAAGCCACAGAAATACCGAGGTGTTTAGATCTATATATATATACACACACGTTTTCTTAAAATGTGACCACCACATCAATACAGTAACACAAACAGACTAAAATCAATACCTGC